TGGCAGGTAGAACTGCTGTATCAGCTATCTTCGCGTCTGGACTTCACCTTCACTTAACATCAGGGGGGGTGGTGTGATTTGTCGGACCTATCTATAAAAAAAAAGTCGTTAGCCCGTATACAAGTGCCAATAAAATTCGGGTAAACGGTTTAGTGTAAATGAACGGAGTCGAGTACGATCGTATTCGGGTAGTTTTCGTTTTGTCTACCCGACACCGTCTTCCAGCCCATATTCCAGTGTTAATATTACTTCGATGCCCGAATTCAAGTAATATTATTGAGCCATAACAAAGAAAAGTTCGAACTGTCAAAAATGGTATTTGTTTAAGTATCCAAGTCTTTAAATAACCGAATAAGGTGGATTTTAAGAACTAAAGAGCACAAGAAAGTATTTTATATTCTATTAAACAGGAAATGTATTTTTATCATTATTGAAAATTCTAGAGCTGAAGAGAAATAAAGTGGAACATGAAAGCTTCTTACAGTAAATAGTAACATGAAAGCACGTACGAATGCGCACGAAACCTTAAAACGTCTAGTTTAGTTACAGCTAAGTTCGGAATTCCTTTGAGGAAAATAAATATTTCCCTCGCCTGAATAGAGTCTTTCCAAACAGGTTTCCTTACCTGTTTCAATGAACCAAACCACCCGGAGATCCGGTCGACTTGATACAGCACTTGAAAACTGTTCTTCGTTAATTATTAAAGTCCGAACTCCAAACCCTCAGACGAGTGGAATGGTCGCAAAATTCCAAATGCCCACATAACACCTTCATCTTTATTAAAGGGTTTTCTTTAATAAAACGAATGGAAACTCTTGAAGTACAGTAGCGTGGTCCAAGTTAAAAGAATTAGTGGCGTCACTTGTATTATAATCATGCCAGCTGCAAAATGTCCAATAAAGGTAATGAAGCCAAATAACGGACATTGTATTTTCAGAAACTACTGTATGGGTTAGAAAATATAGCGGACGTGAGGTAGATCAAGGAACCAAACGATAAAATAAATAAAATCACAAAAACTTAGGAAAACGAAATGTATTTACGATGTATTTACAAAGCGAGACAATAACAAGTTAAATAAAATTAAAAGCCAAAATATATTTTATTTTTTATACACAAGGAGGTCGGTACGCTCCATTTGTAAAACTTGTCACTGTTACAAAATCTCAAACCCGGCCAATACCTACTAGCGTTTAGAGTCTGCTAAGCAATATATTTCATATTGTATTGTATACATATAAGTATATTCAATAGGGATGATGACTATTTTGTTTTTCTTCGTTTATCAGGTAGATTATCAAAAAGTATTGGACACGTATTTTTCTTTTTTCACATAATATAAACATTGCAAAGATTATATTGATTTGAAAAGTCGCATGACGCTACGTTTTACAATTAAATAAGTACAACTTTCACTCAAAAGTGACGTCACGAGCCCCTACTCCCAAACTTTGACGCGCTATAACTTTGTCATTTTTTGGTTGATTGCCCAAAGAAAAAATATGTCCATTATTTTTTGATCATCTAACTGACGGACTAAATAGTATTTAGTTTACTGTACCCCGTCATTACCCCTATTAGAAATAAATATGAACATCACGAACTAGGTATACAGATGCTCATATTCATCAAACCAATATTTGCAACCGTTTCAGTTTGCAACCTCTGACTAGGAAATACGTTGAAACCCGGCTTTCATACCACTCTCGCGCCTTCGAGGCTGTCCAAAATAAATCATTCAAAACTTCAACATTTTTACAGCTCTGACTTACCACAACAGCCGCGTGCCGCTTCTCCCTTATACCAAATTCTATGTGTACGGCGGAACGCGTTCTCAATTATTAAACAATGCAATCGTCTGCGCAAGGCACAGCCCAGTGTTAATACTTGAACACCTTGTATGTGGGTCAGAACCGTGGGAATGTTGTACCGTGTCGTGTCGTGGGGCACTAAGAAATTATTTACCAGCAAAACGTCTTGCTTGACTAGAATGCTTGATTGTGTTATGATTTGTAACGATACTGACTCGAATATCTGAGCGGCTCCCTTGGGCTTTGTGTATTATTTATTTGTTGGTTTCAAGGACGTGGAGGGTTTGTGAAATAAATCTCTGACGACACATATATTTATAAACAAAATATATTAAAAACGTATGAGCTTGATGGCGAAAGTGGTTAGCACGTTGGGCCCTCGATCGTAGAAGTTAAGCAACTTTCGCAATGGTCAGTAATTGGATGGATGATCAAAATCTTGTTATCTCGAGTTTCTTCGTACTTTAGAAGGCTAACGTGCCTTGGACGAGACTTGGGTCCCGGCTGCATCTGCAGAGTTAGCACCCATCAATCCACACTAGGCCTGCTTGGTGGGTCACGACCCAATCACCCTATGCCATCTATAGGGAAGGCATGTGCCCCACCAGTGGGGTCATTTATAGGCTGAATGATGATTAAGTGAGGCTTTTTATGTTTGTTAGACCTTTAAGTAGATATTATCTGCTCAAGTTGTAGACAAGTGCCTATCTTTTTATTCGTTCGGTCGATTACGCTAACCTTTAAGTTTTAAATTATCCAACCAAATTGAATAAAGATGCATAAAAATACTTAATTAATTTTATACAAGTATTATTTAATAGTTATTTTTTAAAAACATTAATACATAATACAAACATGGCCACTTATCTACAGCCAAATATTTGTGCTTATCACTTAAAAAATCTATCTATCGGGCTTAGAACCCAGGACCTTTGAAGCAGAAACCTCAAATGATAGGTGTTGTATGACAGTAAGAAACACTGCGTGTACGAATGCTTAGCTGGTGTTCACAAAATGAAGACAAAGTAGCTGAAATCTGTAACAAATTATTATTATTACACACATACACATGCACGCCCACACATATATACACGCACGCACATATACACAAGCATGCACACACATACACACGCACGCACGCACACACACACCGGCTACATGAAAATTGTTAAATATTGTCTACTTAGAAAATAAATATAAACTGCTTATGGATAAGCTGTGTCCCCTGACACAGGCCTTTTAGCTAATCACTGATATTTTTTTGTAGGAAATGTTAAGAAGAAATAAAGATTTAAATCGGACAAAGAATTAATCTAGCTATCCAAAGGGGGAACGCTGCCAGTATATTCGGAACCTTGCCTAAAGGGACTCCTTTTAATAATGTATTTTAGTTATTATATTTTATTTTTTAAGGTTTTTAGTTTTAAGTTCATTGTTATAGTATATTTTTTGTTTTAATTATTCTTAAATTTATTCTTTTTCTAAAATAAAATATTTTTTCTAATATAAAAGGAAATATAATTATTATTTCTTAAAATAACACTATTCTTTATAGGTATATTCTGCATTTCATACACGGGTCGGGATAGATTTTTCTTACAATTCTAAGGGATAAGAAGCGCTCACTGGATTTGTTCAATTTGAATATTTTTGCTAGAGATGCTTGGTGCGCTGTGAATTTTATCTTTTACCATACATTACGATCACTCCCAAGAAAGATAGGAGTACTTTTACACGCGTACCTATTCATTTTTCAACGGGAATTTTCCCGATCGAATATTTCAATGATTTCTATGTTTGCTCTTGCAAGTATGGTTGAAATGCTGTTTACTGAATGATAAAAGGTTAGGTACCTGTTATTTGGTTTAACCTTTTTGGATATTATAGGTACGTGGTTTCTTTTATTAAACATGAGAATTATAAACCGTATAATACCAATAGCAAACAATATTACTCCGATATTTATTCTATTATCAATTTACTCTGCCTACAATATAAAGAATGGATATTGTGTGAACTGCCACGATATTGAAGTGAAACTTCTTTACCCACGCTTGACTTGGGGGGTAAACTGGCGAATACGTTACGCGTTACGAAAAGTTTGTTCGGGCAAGGCGAACGGGAGTTGAGTGGAGAATATAAGCAAGAGAAAGCAGTGCGCGCGCACATTTTCTTTCACTCTTTCTCTTATGGCTAGTAAATGAAATATGTATAAAATATGTACATACATGTCTATATTGTACACAATACTACTTCCAATTATTATCCTTTTTTTATATTGTACGGGACATACGAGCTGACGGGTCACCTGATGGTATGTGATCACCGTTGCCTATAGACACCTGCAGCACCAGGAGTATCACAAATGCCACGCCAGCCTTTAAGGAAGGAATACACTATTGTTTTGAAGGTTTTCAAGTTGTATTGGTCCGGAAACACTGCTGTGACAATGTATTCCACAGTTTTATCGTATCAGGTAAAAAAAAAATGAGCAAAACCGCAAGTTTAATATAAATAATAAGAAAATATAACTAGAAAAAACTCCTAATATTGGCTAATCTATGCGGATCCGCGCTTTTCCCATACATATTAGCACGGAACCGCATCGGATCCGCGTGTGAAAATTTTACAGAATAGCTGCGCAGGCAGGTTATGCTACCGCGGCCCTGAGGACGGTGTCGAATTCTTTCTAGAATTTCTCAAAAAAATATAAATATAAATAATGAGTTTGAAAAACCAATACCATCTAGAAACTAAAAAAATGAAAATTTAACTTTTTGTTGGTTTTATCTTTATTATATCTAATTAGTACCTATTAGTTACACGACAAAACACCCCAGAATTTTATTATATTTTTATTATTATTGGTGCTAAGAATATAGAAGAATTCGTAAAACTTTTCTGTTTAATGCCCTCTGTAATCATGCTTCCCTGAAATTACGACTTTTGCGTCTAACTAACTAAAAACCAACAAACATACGTATTTTTTAAAAGTGTTTAGAGTATTTTTAATAAGAATCGGTTCAAACGATTTTGGTGCGAAATTTAACCAGACAATTCCATGCGAAATTTTAGTACTTATTTAATACCTTCGAGGTCTATCTATTTAATAGTAAAAAAATGATTATGGTTAAAATGAAAAGACTCGCATACCTTGAAATAATCACTTTATTCAAAACTTTAGAACGACTACCTTAACATATTCTTTTTTTCTTATCAAACAGTATAATATTTTTCATTAATAATTCTATATACAACTAATGTTTTGAAAACATACTTCTTACAATATTATGAATAATAAGCACTTCAAAGTTTATAGAAAACACTATAAATTAATGACTAGATAATATCTAAGTAAAATGTGAAATCTTGATCGTTGTGATATAATTAATAAATGAAATTAAAATATTATGTTACTTAAAAAGTGATTGAAATGAAGTAGGTATTAAACTAACTTGTTACAGTTAAATAGAAAATTAAAATGAATTAATTGGGAAAGCATCTCCTCTCAACAACAGTGGCACAATCGACTCTGGACATTTCACGGAATATTCTAGATAAATTGACAAGCATGTTGGCATCGTTATTGCGACACAACCACAGAGATAATATGTTTTCTGTCGGAGAGCACGTGTTGGAAAAATAATAATAGTATGATGAAATTTTTAATTTCTCAGCTAACAATCTCCAATCGTTGCCTTTACTCGTTTGAGAATCTAAAAGCTTGCAAAGGATAACCCTATCAGATTTAGTGAGTACATTAGTTCTGTAGTTATTGTCTGTACTAAAGTTACTTCTGTACATAGCACTGTTTTTATAAATGACATCGTAACCCTCCTTCTTTGACAAAGACGAGTAGTTGAATGGATTCTCTACGATGTTGATGGAATATCCCATCTCTACACTAGAACAGCTAAAACGTTTGCTACAGCTAAAATTTGAATTTAAATCGTTGGTCTTAACGTTGAAACTGACAGAATTAGATTGCTTCTGCTTTTGATAGACGCATAAATTGAGCTCCAAGCAATTGATAGAATCTGTCTGTTGCAGTGCAAAAACACAGTGCACGGATTTGTTGTTTATTTTCCAGATTTGGGAATAGGATAGCTCTTGGTAATTTCCACCCTGTAATTTCCATCCCACGCCTACTTCTCTGACGTTAACGCATAGATCTGAACAATTCTGTTGGAAACAAACGGCTTTCGGTTCACACAGGAGCGAAGAGCCTAGCTTCTTCTCGTTTTCTAAGCAGTTATAAAAAGCATAGGGTGTATCACAGAATACGTAAACTTTTAAATTGTAAATGCTATTTTCAACTGTTTTCGCCATGAATATGGCGGACTTCAAGAGTTTAGTGTCTAGGCCGCTAAAGCTGCGACCAACAAGCACAAAATCACTTAAGAATTCGCACACAAGGTAAACTTTAGAGGGATCGATTTGTGCGAAGATTGGAGTGCCAGGAGTTTCCTGGCCGAGAGTTAGGACCCTTCTCCATTCTGTAGTGGTGATCTCGTCGGTCCTCTGCAAGATGGAGAGGAGCCAGCTGGTGTTCTTCAGGGAGCTGTAATGGGGGAAGGTGAGGACAACCCCCTTTCGGAAGTGGAAGTTCTTCGGCTGACATCTGATGACTGGGCTAAGCTGAGTTTCATCTAGTAATAAACAAAAAATATTCATTAATATTTAGCAATAAACGTCATCCAATCGGGAAATACATTTTTTTGGGTGGTTTTCTGAACACATACAGAAAGACAAAGTGTCGAGTAGAGACACATGAGGCGTCGGAGATTCGGACCAGCTCTCCGATGTACTGGCTTACTGAGTAGAAAATGATCACCCCAATGATCAATGATATGCAGCATTATTTTTACAATGACGACCTGCGTGGTGAAGTGGTATGAGCACAGGTTTTCAAGGTATCTGAACTACTCAGATGTCCTGGATTCGAAACCCGGTGCGGTAAATGTTCAACTAAGAAATCAAAATATATACTTATCTATTTCCATTATATTATGTGTATCTATCCGATATCCTAGAACCCCTTAGCATAAGCTTTACGGTCATTTTTATACATCAATGCTTACAGTACTTTGGGGGCTAGGCTAGTTGGAGTTGTTAGAAACATTTATATTATTTGCGATCGCAAACCTAACGCACTTTCCATTGTACCATGTAGGTCCTAAGTTAAGCTTAAAACTTAGTTATTTCCTAACTTAATCCCAGGAATTCAGAATGTAGGTCACGCAACCTACTTATATCCGAACAGCCTACTTGAAACGAAAATAAAACATGACATGGGACATTAATTTCCTAATAGATGTAAAAAGGTCACGTAATATGTTAACTGAAAATAAAATTTACATAAAAACTCAGAATATCATTATATAAATGTCCACTTAAAGTGCTTAAGGAGATACTCAATTAAATTTGATTCTTGTCAAAGTGCCATGTTGTATTATTCTACGGATAACGTAAAGAAAGTGACAGCATCTATTTAACATTAGAAGACGTCTCTGAGAACGACCATTTACTGTCGTCATCATCAGTAATTTTTCATTCTTTACTTCATTTTGGGTTAAAAATATGCTACGATGGTAGGTGTTCTAAACGAAATACAATTTACAAAAGTATGTATACACTAGCTGTGCCCCGCGGCAGTAAAACGTAGCCTATGTGTTAATCCAGAATGTCAGCTAACTCCATACCAAATTTTATTGAAATCGCTCCAGCCGTTTAGGCGTGAAGAAGTAACAAACATACACACTCAAAAACTTTCGCCTTTATAATATTAGTGTGATAGCTGTGTCCCGCGGTATTACCCGCGGTTTATTAGAATAAGATATTTTCCACAGTAAAAAGTAGCCCATGTGTTAATCCAGGGTGTCAGCTAACTCCATATCAAATTTTATTCAAATCGCTCCAGCCGTTTAGACGTGAAGAAGTAACAAACATACACACACACTCACGAACTTTCGCTTTTTTCATATTAGTGTGAGTATTCAGTTACCTACTCTATGCTATTCTTGGTATGTGCCCCAGAAAATGTTTCTGTCGGATTCGCCCTAGTGTCTATTTGCATAGACCCTAAAATTATATCAAACGACCTCTATTTGCCACGGTTACATTTGTCCCCGATTCCGTCATAACTTCGTGGGCAGCTATTTCTTGCAGACTGTCTAATCCTATATCGGTAACCTTATTTTGGGAGGCTTTTACTAAACGTTGAACTAGATTTGAAGGAACACCGTCTGATGGTTCGAAATGGGTCGCGTTGTCTAATCCTATTTCAGGCTTTACTTATGTTACACGCGAAGTTCGTCTTGTTGACTACTGATCTTACTTAAGTTTGTCGAAGTATGTCGATTCGGTTGACAGTACCTAACTACAATACGACGACCTCCGTAGCCGAGTGGTTTGTACGCCGGGTTTTAAGGTGTCGCCTACTCGAGAGGTCCCGGGTTCGAATCCCTGTGGGAGCAGATGTTTGTGTGACATACTCGCATAGCATTTGTACTCCAGTCATGGATGTTAAATATACTTATATATGTGTTCTATCCGTTACCCTAGTATCTCTTAACACAAGCATACAGTGCTTACTTTGGGGCTAGGCTAATTGGTGTGGGTGTTGGAAATATTGATTCATTACAATACATACTTCGTTTATGTTAATTATATAATGTTTCTCTAATGAAATAGTTTAGTCTACCAACCCTAAAAAGGAGAGAAATCACAAATACAGTTATTAGTAGCAAGTGAAACATTTTACCTTCTTGTAGTGTTAGTCTATTCCACTCCTCATCCGAAGAGACATTGATCATTGCTTCTTATTAAAATATAGGTACATATAATATATGTATACGACCTCGACGACCTTCGTGGCCGAGTGGTTTGTACGCCGGGTTTCATGGTGTCGCCGACCCGAGAGGTCCCGGTTTCGAAACCCGGTGATGTTTGTGTGATGAATACGTGCATTTGTACTCCAGTCATGGGTGTTTAATATGTATTTCTATATAAATATACTTATATATGTACAATACATGTATTCTCTCCGTTACCCTAGTATCCCATAACACAAGCCTTATAGTGCTTACTTTGGGGCTAGACTAATTGGTGTGTGTGTTGGAAATATTTATTTATTTATTATACTATAAATTATATAGTACCTATCTCAATAACCTTATGTTTCTATAATGAAACAACTGATTTAACCCACTCTAAAATGAATAGAAAATACAAAATAAAGTTGTATGTAATTAATCGAACATTAAGAATTACCTTCTTGCAGTTTTGGTCTATTCCAATCCTCGTCCGCAATCTCTATGGAGAACAACTCTTCACTGTCTACTACGCCATCAGGCACGAACAGTCTTATCCCACACTTGTTCAAACTGAGCCATCCACCCTCGCTTGTGACAATTTTAGAAATCGCCGTTTCTACGTATTGATTGTCCAAATACTTCGAATCTATAGACGTGTTGTTTCTTAGTGACGGAGTCATTTCTACACTCTCATTGCCGTAAGATGATCCTGCTGCAAGAAATGCTGGACTTATTTCATTGGAGACGCTTTCAAACAAGCAATTTATTTTACAACTAGCTGTGCCCCGCGGTATTACCCGCGGTTTATTAGAATAAGATATTTTCCACAGTAAAAAGTAGCCTATGTGTTAATGCAGGGTGTCAGCTAACTCTATATCAAATTTTATTAGAACCGCTCCAGCCGTTTAGTCGTGAAGAAGTAACACACTCACACACTCACGAACTTTCGCCTTTATAATATTAGTGTGATAAATAATTAATTTAAAAAAAAACAAACATTGAGTTTAAAACATGATGCTATAAGGATTTACTATGAAAGTCACACTTTCGAAGAGTTTTTGAATCTCATTAACAAAATTTTCAGTATTTCATAAACAACGGGAGTAGTCCTTGTTAGATACATACACAAAAAAAGATGAGTCATTAATCAAAACAAATAAAAATCGCGTACATCTAAAGTTAGTATGTATATTTAGAGATATGATTCGATATGATGACGATATATTCTGACGATATATTTTTCAATTCAACCATTCAAAGAACTAAAAACATGCCAGTTAAAAAAAACTCAGATGAAGCATTTAACTCAAAACTCACAGCTCAGGAAGCAGCTTGAGTCAGAGAGCTCTGAGCCAAGAGTGCCTTTGCAAGCGGTCCGATCGCTGTTCCGAGAAGGCCTCACCTCGTGGTCAATAGGTGACATGTAGCTGAAAATTAACAGAACATAAAAATACTGTGAAGAGCTCAATGGCGCAAGTGGTTAGCGCGTTCGGCTGCGACCGTTTAAGTTAAGCAACTTTCGCAGTGGTCGGTTATTGGATGGGTGACCAAAAATTATCTCGAGCTCCTCCGTGCTTCGGAAGGCACGTTAAGCCGTTGATCCCGGCTGCATCTGCACCAATCTGCACTGGGCCCGTGTGGTGGGTCATGGCCCAATCTACCTATTCCATCCATAGGGGAGGTCTGTGCTCCAGCAGTGGGGACATTAATAGGATGATGGTGTAAAATTACTGTGACCCTAACTTATCGACCATATCAAAGGAAATCAGTAATCATCGATTATTGGATCATTTCTACAATTTTAATTAAGGTTCCCATTTGATGTTTACAAATCAAATGAGTCTATGCCTACCGAATCTATATTACTCATTTAAAGACAGTGTATTTAAGATTTAAACTGGTTTTCGTGTAGGTATTTTCAGGAACAAAATATATTTCAAAATTTATATTTTGAAAATCTCACATACAGTAAAATGTACTATAATATAAACCAAAGCGATGACGTTTGAAATATATATGTTACTTATTACTTTATGATGCTTTTTCATTAGGTTTTATTTAGACACGGTATTATTGTCATTAAATAAAGGTCACTACGCATACGTTACGCAAGGCTATATCAAATATTTACAGATTTATTAACGAGTCACCTGTTAGCCAATTGTGGTACTTCGTACAGGTGTTCATTTTTAGTATTTGTAGATGTTCCAGTATGTCTTCTTGCGCGCCTCGAATCAACTGTATGGAATTCTTCGTGTATAGTCAAATCTGGTTGGTTGGTCAGAGTTCTCTTTATTACACTCCCAAAATAATTAGCACCTAACAATAAAAATAAACTTTAAAAATCGTAATTATAAAGTTCTAGTGATTTGACTTTACGTAGCCCTCTTACCTGTAGGTGGTTTCACATACGGAGAATTCTCTGTCATTTTGAATTTCATATATTTGATCCCCAATATAACAACAACCACGAATATGAGAAAAGCAATTGACAATGCTATTAGTAACGGCCAATACGATGAACCTGCGAAATAAATAAGATTATTAAAAAACAAAGAAAAAAAATTTTTTTTAATGAATATTTCCAACACACATCAATTAGCCTAGCCCCGAAGTAAGCAATGGAGGCTTGTGTTATGGGATATTAGGGTAACGGATAGAATATATTAAAATGATATCAATAAAGATTAACCCATACTTCATTCAAAGCGTATGAAATATAATTACTTAGCCACAGATTTCATTTAGCTGCAGATTTGTAACTTTCATCTCAAAAATACGTGTGACTGTTCTTATGATGATTCACAATTTAATTTTCAATCAAGGTATTAACCATACTCTGTAAGCATGTTCAGAATCCTTAAAATAGTTAATAAAATAATAAAAATTGACTTACTATCATTGATGAGAGCGGATTTAGAAGTCCTTACACAGACTGGACACTGTGCGACCTGATAGTCGGTGCCCGAGCATGGTTTCCTGATGCTGCTGAGACAGCGGCGTCTCCTAGTCTTCAGGCAGTCAGTGTCACAATCCGACCATTCCGACCATTGAGACCAGCGGTCTGGAAAAAGTTTTTAGCTGAGGTATTGATAAAAATCACTCTCATAGTAAAGATAAAATTGAATTTTAAAACGACTAAATTATGCAAGGATTTTTTATGATGAGAGAATGTAGTAACTAAACAAGAACAACAAGAAATAGATCACAATAATTTAAAAGAATTCAATCTAAGAAGAAACAATAATAAATCATCAAGAGTTCCCATGCAAAATGGTTGATTAGTAAATGATTGTTTTGGAGAAACACAAAAGTCAAAGTACGTGATCTAATCACAAGTTTAAGAGCAACAAAACACAATATCGAACCGGAGGTAATTTTGAAAGTAATTATAAGTAAAATATCCAAAAAACAACAGATGAATACCTAATAAGATATCTGTGGACTCGTCAGCTAATCCGTCGAGGCCATCGACATACAGATCTGTAAAATTTAAACGAAGTTCTAAACACTATCGGTGTCTAAGATCGGTGTACTCAGATGTGTCAAAAAATATTGAAAACTCTGTTAAAGTTAATGCTACTCGTATTACTAGAACTTGAAAGCAAAAGAATGAAACTTCAACAATCAATTTTACTTAATTAAATGGAAACATCTGAGTGCGGGGTCAATCTCTAGTATGAGTGATAAGTCTACCATAACGATGGACTCGGGGCTAATTAACGTTTATCCTTTCTACTAATACTTGCCTAAATCACAATCTATGCACTCCTTAGTCTTCTGCACCTCTTGGCCTGAGCATGGTTGACCACCATGTAGTGGTGGGGGTGCGGTGCAAGATCGTTCCCGTTTTCTACCTCCGCGCTTCTCTCTGCCTTCTCTTCCAATGCAGTAGCAGTCACTCCAGCCAGACCAGGTTGTCCAGCCACCGTTTACTAATATTTTTATATAAATTACCAGTTTTAAAGTAGCTTTCATCAGGAGACAAAAACACCATACAAAATGTTTGTGTCAAAACAGAAGATGCAAAAACATCAGTTACCCATGACGATTCACGACTTTTTATTTTTGAGACAAATGTTGGTTTTAAAGTATTTATTATAGCCATTCACTCACCAATAACTTTCAGTTGAGCAGGATCAGATATGCGTTTTCCAACTAAATTTTCAGCGACACATGTATAGTTTGCCATGTCCTGAAAGTTTTATGGATTTTAATGACCAAAAATATTTTGTTTCTTAAAATAAAAACAGGTACAATACATATGACTTTAGTGACCAAGTCATAATACGTAATTTATTTTGTTAGTTTTACAATAAGAACGAGAACAAATACACATAATATAGATAAGTAGAAGTTCAAAGAAGAAACACTTTTTATCATTAACATTGACCTAATTTCTAAGATAGACACAAGACTTTATCTTGATTAATATTTAACAAAGAGTTTGTATTCACTTACGCACCAGCAAAGAGGCCTGCTTGATGACAAGGTACCCCTCCTTGGTGATCTGTACATTGTCGTCCACCACCACAGGAGAGCCATTTTTCAACCAATAAAGTTGCGCGAAGGGGGCCGCTGGCGGCGGGTCGCAGCGGAATGTTACTCCAGCATACTGCTTCACGAGCTGTGATTGAGGCGATTCGGAGAAATGCTTCTTGATATCTGGATGACATATAAGTTGCCACAAAAATCTATTTAATTACTAAGTACGTAAGTAGTATTTATTATGCAAGTTGTGAATACGAATTTTACGCTCTAGCTGGAGAGCTCCGCTTTTTTGAAGAGCATAGTGAACTAAGGCTACCTTTTGGTGTTTTTATGTTTCTGTCGTTAAGAAAGGTTTCCAAGGCTCCTCGGGATAGAGAATCAGATGATTGACAGATCGGTTAAGGGTTATTATTTCAGTTATCTTCGCAATTTGGACTCTACTCAAGCTCCACACACTTTGAAGAGCAGTAATTTAGATGCCCGAATATAATGGAGATAAATTGCAAGTTAATTTTCGAAACTGTCCTGTTTGATTGTACTTATATTGGAATTAGATTTTACACGATTAGATACCTTAGAAAAGGACAGATTAAATTTGTTCTATAAAATAAAGCTTGAAGTAAATGAAAAAGATGACGGAAAATTTAACGGAAAGCTGATTTTCCTGCACCACAGAAAACGTTAATTTTATATTACCACAAAAGGTAAACCAAATAATTTCAAGACGATTATGATAAATTAATATTTGAATTCTGAAGTTATAGAAACTTATTTAAATTCCTCAGATTTCAAATAAAGATACAGCAGAATTTCTTGACGATTAATTGTTATTTAAAGTAGGATGGGTCTGCTTCGGCGAAATCTATTCTAGGAAACTCGATGTTATTAAGTAGGTACATCTTTACAAAATTACTTATGTACTTACTTAACTATTACTTATATACGGCTAGAGATCATTTAGATTTTAATCTATTTTGATCTGAGCATTCTGAGAACAGTACCCTTAGCACGAACCAATATGGAATACGAATGGTTGCATTCGATCTCGTTACGCGTCAAATGTCAAGAAGTTTTGTAGTTGCATCAAAATATATCTTTGGATAAGACAGCTGAACGCAATCTTATCTAATGGTTTTGCTACAATGAGCAATGCATAAAACACACACAAGCAGGTACCTAATAAATCACCATTAAATCTTTAAGTATAATGTTTCATGCTAAAATGGAAATCAATAGAAAAATAGGTCAAGAATGTGCAATCTTCTATTTTTTTGCATTATCTTAAAACAAACCAATAATATAAAACTTAAGATCAATCCCGTCTGCTGCCTGGTCTGCGTGGTATTATTTCACGTAAACCTTTCCTTAGATTTAAACATCTAGCAGTTAAATGCTTAAAAATATATATCTATATGACTTCCAACAAACCAATATTATGTAGTGGATTGATTACTTGGATACCTACTATTAAGTATATCAATGTTAGCAGTATGGTGTGATTCCTCTTAAAAGTCATCAATCACATTACGATTTAGTACATCATAATTTTCCGTTTCATATTACTATCGAAGATCGAAAGAGTTCCAGTTATAGACAGGACTAGCTGGCCTATTCGTTAACTTTTTGTCATTTACAGTGTATAATAACTAAAGCGAAAATTGCATATCCATCGATGCTTTTCAGAACAAGTATCTTAGTGGCATTATAATAAAGCAGTAAATAGCTCGGTGATTATCACTTCCAGTTGTCAAACGCAGTTATTTTTTTAAAGTGAATAGGCCTACTAGACCGAGTGGGTTTTTTTTTCTAGAATAATAGCAGTTTTATGCATAAACTAGCAATATGATCGAAAGAGCGTGTTATAAAATGTACAACACAAAACAATTTTTCTTACACGCAAGCTCAATAGTAGCAGGTTGACTCCTTATATGTCCTCGGCTAGTCCAGGCGAAGCATGAGCACTGGTACTTGTCTCCGCCGAAGTACTCTTCAACACTCTCCCTCGTGACCCTGTATTCACCCTCGATTATCCTCACTCCGGTCTGAGGGTCCACGAATTCGAAGTTCACAGCGTGAGTTTTGACCCCGTTGCATTTGAAATACACCTTCACGGAGGAAAAGTAACAAATGACGATCAGATATAAAGCTTGAAATAAGGAACTTCAAATTAATTTATATATCTTTCAGCAATTATAAATGATTATCTTTAGTCATATCAACATAAATGTAAGTGTGAGTCGAACTCACATGAAGGGTTCCGCACCATCTATAGGATTAATAACGTTTGAAATATATGTAGTAATTGTAAACAGCAAGCAAAAAGTTCTTTTTTTCTTAAATTGGACCCTTTTTTGCCTTTGTTTATCAAAATACACACTCAATGAATATTTCAACTAGTATTACTCATTTTAAATTGAGCCCGCTGGCAGTCAAATAAACAGAAAAGGCTTAGATAGCGATTCTTTTGTCTACTTTTGTGTACAGAACCCTAATAATAACTAACTTTCAGAATGCTCTTATAAAACCTAAAAAGTGGTTTTAGTAATTCAAAATCCCACAGGAAACAAGTTTTGTTTCAGTTGTAAAAAGTTTGATTATCGTACAAATGAAAAAGAAACTTACTTCCAAAGCGTTTGCAGCACGACACTTCAGCGTTGTGGGTTTATTTTTAACTATATAAGTGTTTTCTGGTTCTAATAAGAAAATGGGTAAATTATCTTTAGCGGAGTGTAAAGGAATTTTATCATCTACAGGCAACAAGTCTTGATTGACATCGCTTTTAGCTGTAGCTAAGTCTGGTGAATCTTTGTAATTGTCCTTATTTTCGTAGTAGTCCAGGTATGTGTTTTCATCAATGTCGTCTTCTTCCTCTGTATCATCGTGGTTGGCAAATACTTGTGGTAGCAAGTAATCTGATGCATCATTTTTATTATTGACAATGAAATCCAACGGTTTATGGTCGTAATCTTTAGTTTCAAATGGTTTTCTATCATCTGTAGATTGGGATCCTAAAATATAATTTCAAATTCAAATGTCTATGACGATGTTTACTTATATGGCATGTCCAATATGTAGGTAATTAAAAATTTGAGGACTAATGCATTAAAGGTTTTAAATAAAATCTTGTTTGAAGATCATTTACTCCCAATTTTATTCAAACAGTTGACAAAAGTTTATGATATGGTAATCAAGGATAACATACAATTCTATTTAAATGTGTTGGTGCAAATTACCCTCTTAGTATTAACACGTTGGTATAAAGGGCTTCTAACTTAGAAGAAGAGGAGAAGAAGTTATCACATTACCTCTTATTAGTAAAGCATAAATACCTTTCTCCGCGTCTTGTCCCTCTATGCGTAAAACCACAAGCAACTGAATCAAGAAGAAGAAGTAACACCGAAATTTCACTTCCATTTATGACTTTTTTTAAAACATTTAATTTATCAATAACCCGTACACGAGCATCGTGTTCCATTACTGCTTTCACTTATTTATTTACATTATTCGTAGAAAATTTTAGTTTTACTTAATCAAAAATACACACAATATTATTTACTTCATCACGAATAGTCACTGCGGTTATGTTAAAAACTTGTTTTATTACCGTCCGTACACTATGTTAATATATTTAGAAATACACAAAGCGTAGACGAGTTCGTAAAAGTTTTACACGATTCTGTTGTGTTCGACACGGGTGGTGCTCGCGATAGTTAATACTCAACTGGGAGTTAGGGGTTGAATGAAACAGCTTAGGGGACGAAGATCCCGCTGCGCATGTCTGGCGTATCACCTCAACGAAGAAAGTTTGGATTTTTCTTTTTTTAACTTTCGTTTTTCATAAACACAACATAGCTGTTCGACACGTGTTATGTCCGTAAAAGAAAATTCGTAAAGATTTTAAATTTTCAATGATTTTACATTCTCATTACTTGTTTGTATTTATGTTTTTTTTACTTTAAATCTGACGTCAGTATTATTTTTAAATTTATTAGTAGCTATTAATACTATAAAAAATTAAGGCGATTGTTTTTTTCAATACCATGAATCGTCCAAAATGGACGATAAATGAAGTTAAGTGAACCATATTTCCCTCCAATCCACCCTATTCTTTCCAAAAACTGTCTGTACGTTTGGGAAAAGTATCCTATGTGACTACAGAAAAAGTGTGATTATAATATAAGTACTACTTCCACTTAATGCTGGGAATGAATCTACCACTACCACTAAGTAACTAACTCCTCATTATTACATATTCCAAATGCACAACAAAGTAATAAATCTTTATAAAATAATGTTCATTAAATAAATAAATATTTCCAACACTCACACCAATTAGCCTAGCCCCAAAGTAAGCACTGTAAGGCTTGTGTTATGGGATACTAGGGTAACGGATAGAATACATATACGTAAAAGTATATTTATATAGAAATACATATTAAACATCCATGACTGGAGTACAAATGCTCGTATTCATCACACAAACATCTGCCCCCACCGGGATTCGAACCCGCGACCCCTCGAGTCGGTGACACTATGAAACCCGGCGTACAAACCACTCGACCACGGAGGTCATCATTGGTAATGATGGAATAGGTCAAAACATTTTGAAAAGTACATACTTACGTTGTAACTGTATAATCCTCCGGTTTTATAATGTTCAACAAATAATTTTAACGAAAGTTCAGTTTTGGTGGTAGTGAAAAACTTTTAATGTAAATTATTCAGTGAATATTGAAGCGATTCTTGAAAAAATAATAAGGAAATATGCAATAATTTGATTTATTTTATTTAATACTATTTTATGCTTTGTTTCTTTTAATAAGCAAAAAAAATGATAGGTACACCTAATCTGTCATGATATTGGCCCATTTATAAAAATAAAACACATTTTATTATTATGCAGGCGGTTTTATTAGAACATCAATGTTCAATGTAAATCTATGGTCAATTTCATTGCCGTAATTGGATACCGGAAAATATTATATAATAGTAACCGGCAGACTTATTCACACTGCTTTTTTAGGAAAAATATAAATGAATAAATAACTTTTTAATGTTTGCCATGTTCAAATTTAAATTTTACCGTTACAATACCTGAAATAAAAAATAAAAAAGAATCTTAATTAAATGTAACTATTTGTGACACGTGGGTGAAGTCTACATAAAACTTAGAAATAATTGATATCTTAATTAAACCTTTTCGAATACGATTGAAGCACAGATAAAGTAGTGGGAGTGCACTGCGGTTTAAAGTTATTATCTCTTAAACAGTTCATTTTTTGATTATTAATTTTGTAAGAAAACTATGTCAAAATAAGTTGATTGTTTTTATTTATTTTTAAGCATTTAACTGCTAGATGTTTAAATCCTGATCCTGATGCCTGGTCCGCGTGGTTTTTTTTCTAATAAACTTTTCTTTATAAGTTGATTGTGTAAAATCTGTGACACAACGAAAGTAGCATTTTATTAGATTTTCTTCATAGAAATTATTCTCTGCTACTCAGATTCGGATGCAGTGTTAGGCATTCTCCCTTACAGCGGCTTGAGTTCGAATTAGCTTTGTTCATAGTGTAAAAAAATAGTTTATTATTTAATTTTTTTTGTACATGTAAAATCAACAACTTTTACTCCCCATTGTGTCTAAAGTAGAACCTAGTTATTCGAATTTAAGTAGGTTTAAATTGGATATATTTTAACACGTACCCTGCGTTAAAAACAGTGACTTTCATCCAGTGCGGAAGCGGGCCTATTATGGTGGATGACCGCTGACATATAAAGTTTACGTTCTGTGCGGTGGAGGTCGAAAAAGGCCTGGCGCTTTTTAGGCCATGTTCAGGTGGCAACATTTTGACGCGCGTTTTCAAATCGCGCGACTAGACATCGTGGTATTTACATACAACCTATCACATAAGCGCGCGCTAACGCGCGTCAGCGAGCGTTGACGCGGCGCTCAGAGAAAAAGTCTCCAGACGCAGGCGATCACGCGTTGACGCGCGTTTTGTCAGGTATGTAACGTCAGTTGACTGTTCAGTTGAGCGCGCGCTTCCATCGCGATCGCACGTTTTTTTTGACTTGTTCGTATTCAGTTCAAAATGCAAAATGCGTTCAAATTCTTAGCTCTATCGAAACAGACTGACGAGTGCTCGCAACGCGCGTTAGCGCTTCTCATTTGAACTCTTCATAAATTTGATCGCGCGTTTACCTGCGAACATGGCCTAACGTTCAGATGATAGGCGTTTAACGCGCGATTTGCTAACGCACGTTGTGCGCATCTAATAAAAACGCGCGCTAATATCTGAACGACTCGAACAAAATGCATGTACGTGTCAAACGTGTGTTAAACGCCTATCAACGGCGGGTACACATTGGGCGTTCGGCGAGCGTTTAGTAGGGTGTGTTTCTAGCAGTACGAAAATGGATGCCGAAATGATTGCTTGTGTGTGGCTCCTCTACCGTCGCTATAAAAGACGGCGTATTTTTTTTTATTTTACGTCTATTTAGCGTCTTATTTTTTTTATAATCGGGATTTCATGTCCCAAATAGCTGGTCGCTTTTGGATTTCTTCAATAAAGAAATCTGTGTCATAATGTTCGTGTCTATTTTTCCGTTGAACTGACGTCTACACTACACCAAAGCGCGCGATCAAATGTACAACAAAATGGCGGCCCAAGTATCTCGAAGTACGCAGCTAACCCGCGCAACGCGCGATCATACGTAAAATATGAAAACGCGCGTTTGACGCACGCTTGACCAGAATCGCGCGCTTGCCTCTGTACACTTCAATAGAACTCCTGGTCCTCGAAACGCCCGTTAGCAAAGCGCGCGTTGGAAAACGCTTAATGTGTACACCACTTATTGTTACTTAAGCCCTCGGCTGTGTAGCCATCTACTTTATTTTTCACGGCCGGAAAAAAAAAGATTTCCGGCTGATTTTCCTATTAATATTCGAGTTCTACTGTGCGCCCAGGCTTCATTAATGCCTTAAATCAATCTGAATAGTTTCCTTACAAACTTATCTATATATTAGATGTGTAATTTAAAAACTATTAGTAAATATGATAAAATGAAAAATATGAAAATAATTTTCTCAACTCGTGGCAGAAATCATTGTATTACATACATAATGGGATAACTAAATTAGTAATCACAAACCGAAAACAATATATGACTACTTGTAAAAATGCCAAAGATATAACGTTCCGCACCAGGCGGGAGAGACGCACACAGTGTTAGCACCGCATCAGGTCGATTATGGGTGATAAGTAGGCAGTGAACGTTTTAAAGACAGTTTTGAAATAATTCTTACTTCAACCGATGTTAAAGATGCCAGCAAACAACTGTTGCCTCTCTGCTGTGACGAAGAACAAAAACGGATGATCGGCTAAAAACACTGGCTCGTTGAGATGCAAAGATGTCTGTTCAATTTGTATTGCTGAAATCGAATAAGAAACTTTTCAATATTCAGAAAAGTGCGGGCGTTGTAGTCTTTATTTCATAAATATTAAATTTAAAGGCCAATATGATGTATTATTAATTTGGGTATAGTAAAACCAAAGAGTATTCCTTTAAATCGCAGGTAAAAATCTTGCACTGCGACGCTGAAAATGTTATAAAGACTAACAGCAATGCAGCATGTATACACATTACATAAAATTTAAGATTTTTTTTTATTCAATGAAATATTAAAATTATAATTGAAAAATCTATAATAGACTATATAGAATTTTGCAAGAAAGAGTGTTCATGATAACATTAAATCCAAAATTTGGAGTACACCCAAAAAGCAATTTTGTCTATTTTAGAAACTCAAAAAATGTTTGCTTGTAATAACAAGCATAATTGTATTAATATTATAGGTATAATATTCGCAACGAATAAACTCTTTAATAACTTTAACTAATAAGTTAATAAAGTTTAACTAATAAGTTAAAGTTATTGAAGTTTAAGTAATAAGTTCAAGTTATTAAAGTTTAACTAATAAGTTAAAGTTATTAAAGAGTTTATTCCTTGCGAATATTATACCTATGATATTAATAAAATTATGCTTGTTATTACAATCAAACATGTGACTGTGACTGTGAGCTCTCCTACATCGGGCAAACAAAGAGGAGTATAGGGACTCGGGTAAAAGAACATATCGCAGATATGAAATGCGAATATAAGTCTGCAGTGTGTGAAAATGCATTAGGGGGACCAAACCATTACATTAGATTTGATAGACCACAGATCCTTGCAACTGAGCAACGATTCATTCCTAGAATGATACGCGAGGCTATTGAGATTAAAAAATATCCAAATTTCAATAGGGAAGATGGTTGGTATATACCATAAGCTTGAGAACCCATTATACAGGAGATAAAATCCCAACCCCGAGCACACACTGCAAGACCAACAGATACTATTAGTTCTTTTTGTTTGCATTATTTAACATAAGAAGGAGATAGAAAGCCTCTCTTGAGTTTGTTTCGCCGGTTCTTCTTAGAAAGGTCTCCCAATTTTGGAACCGGTGGTAGTTAGGTTCAAATAAATAAACTCAAAATTACAAAAAAGAATTTTAAAGAAAATACTTTATTAACTAAATTAAGTAATAAATTCATACATAGACAATAAAACTTTAAAAATCGAACAATGAAATAACCGAACGCTCAATAAGTCTTTCGAACGACAAATTAAATAAAAATTTGATTCCGACGACGTAAGTGTAAAGGCTACGAAACGTCAATAAATAAATAAAGTTTCGTGCATTAACCCGTAAAAAACTAGTTTTATTTTTTGACTTTCTAAAATAGACAATATTTTTTGGGTGTACTCCAAATTACTAATAAGTACTAATAAGTTAAAGTTATTAAAGAGTTTATTCCTTGCGAATATTATACCTATGATATTAATAAAATGATCCCGTTGCGTTCCTTTAAATGGCTTCACGTAGGCTTGAGTGTATTAGCCCCCTAGCACACAACGAAGCGTAAATCTTCGATACCTGACTACGACGAAAGTCGTCAGGTGTCGAAGAATAAAATTGCGGTAGTCCTCAGTATAAAACAAAATGTAGACAACGCGTGCATGTGCACGAACCTCTATGAATTCGTATTACGGCAGTCTTTTAAAGACCAATAAAGTCGTCTGATATCGAAGATTTACGTAGCCTGTACGAACGAAGGGAGTAATAGGTCACCGTCCGCGTCCAGTTGGTTCTGGAAGCAACTAAGCTACGAGGCACTTATACCTCACAAATCTATAAACTTTCAACTTCTTTAGATATTTTCAACCTTAGAATTACAAAATATACCCTTTAATTATTTTGATTTTGAATCATGTACAAACGAATGAGCTCCGCTTGTAAACCTTTTAATTCAAAACATAAATTGAATGGCAAGTGATAAGACTTGAAATTAGACAAGTAACCGCCTTGTACCGTACCTAAAATATCTAATAGTGTGTAATTTCTTCAACTTACCACTAGCCGCAGCTGCCTCCGTCCCCCTCTCAAACACTTCGATGCATGCTTTCTGAACAGCTTTAGACAATTTAATTTGACTGTCTGTTGATATACGATTTAAGCCAGAATCTTTCTGAAATACGCTTTTTACCCCAATCTGTGGATAGACAAGCTGTTATTACCTTTTTTTGTATTCGGGTAATACCTTAGCATCCTTCAACTACTGGGGGAAAGGAGAAGAAGGTATCTGGAACCTCTCCTTGCTCATTTCAGCCAGCTCTGGGGTTCGATGAAATGAGCAGGGCCTAACCTAACTGATTTATGGCATATTTTTTAGTTTTGTGAAGGTACAATTCCGAACTGAACCGCAGACCACAGGCCACAGCTGCAGACTGCAGGCGACACTATTAGTTTTTATGAATCTCTCTCTATGAAATTGATTCCGAGTGCGGCGACAACAATATTCATAATTCCCTTTTATTGGAGCAAATATTGGAGCAAAGTAGGACCATTTTACCGGTATGTATATAAAGTTATAATATTTTTTTTTTACCTCTTCAAAAATTAGCTATTAGCGGTTACGGTAATTCATATTACAAGCGGCGACATGACTCTGTGTCCTCGATTTTTTTAATAAATGTTTTTAAAACTATATCTTGTTTTCAATTTAGTTTTAAACCCCAAATTAGTTTCTCTAGTGCTAGTTTTAACTAAAGCTCCGAGTGACAACTAGTGTTATCTGAAAATCAAATATATCAGTGATATATTCTAGTTTTGACTCGTTATTTTTAGTTAGGTTTAGTTTTAACAAAGGCATTTAATAAAAACTAATTTTAACTAGGGAAAACGCGTTCTATCTTAAAGGGGGTTTAACTGTAACACATATAATGCACGGTCAGCCGCAGGCGCTAGCCGCAGTGTCGCCTGCGGTTGTCGCCTGCAGCCCATTGCGATATTGTACCTTATTGTGATTTTTGTTATGAAATCAATAAAAGAATAACATTTAGGTTCATTAAATGATTTTTTTATACTTTTGAGGCTAAGAATTCTGATTTTATGTTCACAGTTTTCTTAAATCAGTTTAAGTGTTTGTTAAAAAACAACGTCACACAATAGATACTGCTCAAAAAGCAAATCTCCTAAAATCTTCAGAGCATACCTTTTTATATAGAGCTTTGAGGTCAAGTTCTGTCTGTATCTTAAACTTGGGCATGGTCAGTGTGAGCTTCGTCTGCGTCATCGTCATCATCTCCTTGTTGAGCAGCTCAGGGGCCAGCTTCAGCTCGCTCAACAGCATCGGCAGACCAGACTTGGAAAGCGGGAGCACCATCACAAATGACGCTTTCTCACCTTCGTAGGGTATTTCAATTATCTGCAAAGTTTCATCGGTGCCAAGATTCGATTGCGCAAGTAGGCGCTTTCGGCTGCAATCGTTGAAGTTAAGCACCATTCTAGAAGTCGGTCATTGGATGGGTGGCCAAAAATTTTCTATCTCGAGCTCCGCAGTGCTTCGGAAGGCACGTTAAGCCATTCGTCCCGGCTGCATCTGTAGTCGTTAGCACCCTCTAATCCGCACTGGGCCCGCGTGGTGGGTCATTGGCAAATCTCCCTATTCCATCCATAGGGAAGGCCTATGCCTACAGGGGGGATATTAATACGCTGATGATGAATAAAGATAACCATTTTTATTTCACAGTATTAAAATCCACTGTTGTTAGTTTAGCTATTATTTATTTATGTTCCAATCTGAAAAAACTTTTTAAAAATGTTCTTAAATCTATTGGTCTTTTTTTAAATTATATCATTTAAGAGAAAACGCCTATTTAGTAAAACTGTTATGTCTAAGCATCAGAAGACCTTAACAATAACCCAGAGTCATAACAGCATCTATAAGTTAAATATCTAAATTATTTTGACAAGGGACTCCAGAGTATGCCGATATCTCTTCAGCTGAAGTCAGAAATCCTCCAATTAGTTTTTTAATCTTGACACAAAACAAAAATAACCGTGGTTACAATATTAATGCATTAAATTCCGTACCTTTGCATTTAAGACCTTACTTTCTGCATAGTTATACGTTTTCTTTTGTTTCATCATAGGAATCCGGCGTAGTCCAACAGGAGAGTGAAAATCTCCCACAAAAACCTTTTTGAATGGCTCTGTCCAGCGACCCTGGAGTAGGTATTCAATAATAGATTTTATTTAAATTCAGTTGATTTGATACAACTACAACAATAGTTAAAAAATACATAAAGCTGAATACTTTACTTTACTTACGCCAGAGTTTTTGGCGGGATTTCATCGAGTGCGTTGGCGTCTTATTTTAATTATTCTTAAATTCATTCACATTGGATATTTTACACTAAAATTGGTGTGATTTTGTGTTACAACCGTCAGAACAAATGAAGAATTAGTGGAATCTTTAAAATATACGCTATTTCGGTCAAGTGGACGTGAGAACTTTATTGTAGTGTTGACTACCTCACAGAAGCCTATCGAAAAAGCCGACTCGAAACATTTCGTGCCAAACACTCCAAGAAACATTAGAATGCGTCACTCTAATATAAAAAGAAGATACATATAACTAAAGACTAGGCTGTATGGGCGTTGTTCCCTTTGCCTTCCAAAAACGGATTTACTGAAACTGTCTGAAACATGGGGAAAGGGGGATTGACTTGACTGCCACTTACTTTGACTTGATTTATTACTTTGACCACGAGTGCTATAGAATAGAATTTGTAAACATTTTCACACTTGACATTGGCTAAATGCACAAGCCGTGCGAAGACATTTAGAAAAACAAAAAAAACAGGTGTAGGGCTTTTTGGCGGGATCGGAAAGCGTCACATACTTAGGCAGTTTTGTTTTTCTTGTTAAAAATTATGTTGTGGTCAATGTTAGGGTACTTAATTCCATTATATGTAATTGAATTTCGGGGTAATTTGTAGGGGAGGGGGAGGGGGGGCTCCCCCCGACCCCCCGCCATAAATGATTTTTGGCGGAAATGCAGTTTTTTTTTTACCTAACCTAAAAATTCATAAAATCTGTTATTTGTAGTGGAATTTCAGGGGGATAGGTATTAGGGAAGAACCCTCAGAGGGAAGGGTAACCCCCCCCCCCGGCGTTTTTTTACAGAAATGATAATTATAAAAAATTAGAGGAGTTTTAAAGGTAAATCTGTACTTCCAGCGCCTAGAGGTGATATTTGATTTTTCTGTAGAAAAAGTCTATTAACAAATTTTTCTTTCTGGCGCTTCGCCGGCCGCTGCCGCGGCACGCTCGCTTCGCTCGCTCGGCTCGCGCGTTAAGGTCACAACACTAATCTAACCTAACCTAGTGTGAAGTATCACCACTTGGGCCTTAGATATACAGTTTAGCCGTTTAAATAAAACAAGTTTAAACACAAACACTGACTGACAGATCTCATTAATGGTGGTAAATTGTCACATTTCGACAATAGTACCAACATAATAAACTTATATTTACCATAGACAACGAGAAACATGTTATTTTTGCATAAAAAATGGCAGCACTGATCATGAAAATTGCGAAAAAAAAAATGTTGTCAAAATTGACTCATAACCTACAAAAATATTACTTTTCAATAATTTTTTTCTCGAGTTCTATTCGTTTCCGCCAAAAAAGATTTCGTGTACGTATTTTTAATAGTTAATACTTTGCGTGACAAAAATTTCAGTTTGCAACTCGATTACATATAATGGAAAGGTGAGCCCAAAATAGCGAAAAGTGTCTTTCGACGTTCCCTCAAGAAGTCCACGAGGAGGTTCCCGTAAATCCCCCACACTTTTACTGAAACATAGGGAAAGGGGATTGACTTGACTGCCACTTACTTTGACTTGATTTATTACTTTGACCACGAGTGCTATAGTATTTGTTAACATTTTAAAACTTGACATTGGCTAAATGCACAAGCCATGCGAATCCATTTAGGAAAAAACCCCAGGTGTATTTCTTACGGCCTCTTAACGTGGTCCACACAAGATTCATTTAATTTTCTTTGATGAACTTTGATTTTGTTAATACTCACTTTTCTCAGGATACATAATGAGTACCGATCAAACACACAAGGCATGTTGAATAACCTAGATTCCGTTCAAATGTTATATTAACTTGGAAAGGAAAGTTTAGTTAAGCATATACAGTCCACAAGAGTCTTGATGCCTCATTCAGATATATTATCTTCTTTTTCAGTTACGGTTTAGTTAACTTTAATCAGTGACAAGTATTGCATCCAAACTTTATATATTTTATTTTCTAAGCATTTTACTGCAAGATGTGGATGTCTAGAGATGGTTCTGCCTTGCAGCTTAAGAAAAGCTAGAAAAAATTTGACAGGGCCGCGGTAGCATTCGCCTGGATAGCGAAGGGTGCTCATTGGAGTCCCATCTGCTGCCTGATTTGCGTGAAATTTTTTCTAGTAAAAATTTCTTCAAACTTGTTTAGGTACTTACAGCAAAATATATTGCGTTGACCAATATCATTGCGCTGTCTCTGCTAATATCCATCGGTGTAACTATGTTTTTGATCATTCCATTCGTTTGAGAACTAACCTATGGAATAAATGTTGGCATAATAAAAATAAATTTGCTGTTACAAACATTAAAATAAAGAGAGATAGGACAATTTCGAAATTTGTGAAAACAAAATCACGGGATAGGAAAAAATTTACCGTGCGATTTATTTTTCCCATGCAAGCTTTTTGGGCAAGAATATTTTTGTACCAAAATTTTGTGCTGTACCGTGTCCAGTTGTCCCCTGTCGGTGTCGAAGTATTGTCTATGTAACTAGTGTGTGGTTATTTCACAAAACACAGAGCTGGACGAATTCAGATACAAGGATTCCTACCATATCTTCGTTACAATTCCCGGGGGCGAGAAGATGTCACGCCTTTCCAAGACATTGAAAAAAGGTAGGCAACGTGTGAGTCATACTGAATATGATTTCAGTTCAGTGAGACCCTCAATATGAAATTGCTTAGAACTCCACTCACACTTATCAGGCGAGATTCAGATGATGGTTTGAGAAATGGAGTTTGTATACAGGCAGTCCTCGACTTACGTCGTTTCGATTTACGTCGTTTCAAGTTACGTCGAACAATGTTTTGACATTATTCCTCAAGCATACGTCAATTGTTTCGATTTCCGGCATAGGAGAATTCACTTGTCGCGAGGTCAATGTCCGTGGGGACGGCGTCCGTGGGGATGTCTCGACTTACGTCGCGTATTTCGAGAACCTAACATGCCGTAAGTACGAGGACTGCCTGTATACGTAAAGGTACAGTGCATACCCAATCATTGATGACGTTCGCAGACAAATGTTTGTTGTCGAAGTTCAACTTCTCCACGGTGGAGTGGAACACTTTGTTGGTTATCAGCTCGTACTTTTTGGATATTTCGATGGAACGACTGACGTACAGCCTGCTCGCCACTGAGAGGGTAACCCCTGGTAGGTGTTTCAACTTCTCGTACAGCTCTCTGAACGTCCATTTAATCTGAAATAAAATATTTGTTTACCTCTGTGATTCCTTGCTGCTTTAACATTATTTTGTTCAGTGGGTAATTGGGGTAATGAGAGCACTTTTTAGTGTTTAGAAAAAAAAGCGAAAAAAAGAAGGCTTATAAAAATAAGGCGCGATTTATATTCCTTAAGTTGTTAAAGTGGCAGTTAAGACTCACGCTTTCTTACTGTATCAATCTTCACTAATGGTCTTCCCATTACTGAAGCTTGATACAGTGGCAAAGCACTAGACCTACGAACCACACTAGACTAGACTAAAGACCTAGGAAACAATGGCCAAGACCTGTGCTCCAGATATTATAAAGGACAAAATTATATTCATATTCATTTATTGCATTGCATTGCATTGATTTATATGAAGGATTGATCATGACCTACCACAGCTTACTTACTTACTAATGCTAATAAAGCCATGAGCAGTCAAGCAATGTGCCATCCCGAATCATGAGTGTTCGATCATCCTGCATATAAGTGACAACCTACGCCTGTAGCGCAAAATGCTTCCTCAAAAACTAACGCAGTCTTCTCTAAAACTTACTGATGACTTTTTGACTCCAACAGCTTTCAACATCTCATCTCGACTCTCACCCGGATCAGTGCCAAGGATCAATTTGCCTAGTGGCAGCAGCGCTGATAACGGTGAGCAAACCACATTCTCGCGCATGTTCAGCAACATGACTTCCTAAAAGAGCGACTCAGTTAATAAGAGAGGACACACAATTCTGCCACTTAGATTATAACAAAATAGGTCAAGTGCCAGTAGTGCCACGTGCAGTGCAGGGTTCCGTAACTGCCCATCATTACCACAATCAGTTCTTAATTTCTTTATTTAAGTATCCTTTGGTAAAGCTCCATCTGGCGGCAGCTTTGACGAACTAATGATATTTTATTAGTGCTTTTTAATTGATTTTTTTTAGGTTTTGTTTTTCTAAGCAAGGTTTTACGCTTTATGAACAAGCAATTACTTCATCTTAGTCACTTATTTTTTATTAGCTAAGAAATTTTCTAATACATAAGATGAACAATTATAACTCTTAAACTAAGTCATCTATCTAATCATGAATTTTTCCAGACTTTTCAAGTCAATAGTTTAGCTTTTAGAGGAGAGGGGGGATGCTCTATTCGAACAAAAATTAGCACTTTTAAGTTAAATATTTCGCAAACCGAATCGAACCCTGAATCGAAAAATACTCTTCTCAACCAACCGCTAAGTCATTTTAAATAACCTTTTCAACGATACCCCACACGAGCGGGTAGATGATGAAAAATAATCATCCTATCCTTACATGTAGCGGAGCTTAAAAAAATACTTTTCAAAATTTTATTCTACCTCTTTGTCGGCTTGATTAATAAACATATCTCCAAAAAAATAACAGCTCTCTAGTGCCAATAGTCTCTAAGCAAAACCTTGGACGGACAGACAGATAGACATAACGAAACTGTAAGGTTCCTTGTCAGGACTAGGAACCCTAAAAAGGTAAGATATGGTCAGAGCTATAAATATTTTAGAATTAGTAAAGGTATCTATATTTGAAGCCACAAATGTCTCTGCCATGCTGAAAAACTTTTGAAAATGCGTTTTTTGTAGGACCAAACTCGAAACTAGTACAATAGGCTATGGGACTTTCTTCAATAGTAAACATTATTTTACAAAACACGTTCTGTCTATATTTACCGCTGCAAATGACCTTTTCAATGTTCCTTTCAAATCCAATGGGGCAACATTTTTCTGATTTTCATCTGTATCCGAATCCCGGATTACTTTGTTTGTTGTTATTACTGATAGAAATCCAAAAATAACTGAAAATTTAAAAGGGCTGTGTTTAGTATTTTAATATATCCCGACTTACTAGGATCCAGGATTTTGGACTGAGGGGACTTATAGTACCTATAAGTAAGTCCCCCAGACCAAAATATTAGATTACGATTATAGATTTTAAAAGTGAGCATAATTTTATCGCTTTGTGAAAACACTAATTTTACCCGTGAAGGAAGTCTAGCCACGTGGTGAAAATAAACCCAAAAATCCCCGACCCTAAACCCTTAATTGTGTAGGTACTGTACTTACAGACATTTTTATATAATTATTTGCTTCATTATACAAATATACTTAGTACTTGCATATCGGCGGATTGGCCCTTTGTAGGTAGCTATGTTCAGAAGTAGTTGTTGAGATCATATCATTCCATGCAAGGTTTGCACAAAAGGCTTCGCAAAGTGCCCAAAAAAGTATCAAAAATTATGTGTCTCACTCAGTGCCGTCTTTGACCTGTTGGAGGCCCTGGGCATATTAGGATAATGGGGCGCCTATGACTTCCGTTTGGTGATTTAACAGGAACTAGGGATTTTGTATTTGATCTGAGGGGGCCCCCTATCGATCGCGGGGCCCTGAGCACTTGCCCAAAGTGCCCACTGGGAAAGACGGATCTGGTCTCACTGCACTAACCAGTTATGCTTGTTTAAATAAATGTAAATGTAACCACACAATAAATCATGATCTTACGAGCAAGTAACAATTTCATATCTGAAAAAAATCTTCACAATTTGTCCTTTGAAAGTATGTAGGCAAACTACCTACGTAATGTCTCCATCGTGGAAAACTTCATGCGCATTAATAAAAAAGGCTATTGAAAATTGATAACAACAGATGAGTAATCAATTTCACTCTAATTTCATACTTGAAAATCCTTTTTTCATGCTTCGAATGTACGCCTACTGCAGATTATACATGATACTAATTGGCTTAGGAGGCAACTGGCCTCTGGTTCGCAGCCCACATTACACGGAGTAGGAACACTAGTGGAAAAGTTGACCGAATGCGTGGACCAGAATACCAAGGGAAAAAAATATCATGGTTAAAATACCTAATTAAAAAATAAGCTGTGAAATAAACGAAATCTAAAAAATATAAACTTTTTTTTATTTAAACGTATGTTCGTACTATAACATTACTAGTTCGTATTTACGGTTTTAAGGAAAGGCATTATTGTTATTTTAAAGAAAATCATTAAAAAGCTTATGTTTTCTTTCTGCTTACAAAAAAAATATTACTTTAATCAGGTTTTATAAAAATAGTTATTTGCACTATACGGTGTTTTCCAAATTTTTGAAAACTGTTTAGGTATATTAAAACATTGTGTTTGGCATTTCTGTGCGAGACGCTGGACGCTGGTCCAAAGAATATGTATCCGAGTTGCAGGTGCAGAGTAAATGGACTGATAGTAAGGCGGACCTGAAGATCAACACTCTCCTGCTCAAGGACACTAACCTTCCACCGCTTAAATGGAGCTTGGGGCGAGTGTTAAAGACCATCGCAGGGAAGGACGGCATTTCAAGAGTGGCGGACATACAAACGGCTTCAGGTGTTCGTGGCTTCGACGTGCCTACACCAAAATCTGCCCTCTTTTATACGACGACGATTCTGCAAGCCTTGGAAAACATTGAAAGACATGTTTGGCATTTCTGTGCGAGACGGATCGCACCATGTTCAAGTTCGGCTCGGTCACCGATCCGTATGGTGCTGCATGACGCGATATAAAAATCGACGCTGCCATTGGTCGCAAAATATTGTTCCCAACCCCTCCTCCTCAAATTATGTAACAGCAATTTTTCGAATTTAACAATATACGCTATTAGACTTTCAAAGATATCACATTTATTATTTTAATATCCAAAATCTCAGTCTCTAAGCATAGACGATACGAAAACCAAGTTCCGGTGGTCGCTATCCGGCACACATTGGAACAAACGATTTAAAAGAAAAATAAAAATTAATTAAATAATGTCTTTTTTCTCCATTAGACCAATTACAGTTGAATTTATTTTTAATGGTTTTGAATTTACCGCGAAAACGCTCGGTTCGATGAACTCTACTGTGTCACTACGCTCAACTCTGAGAAAGACCTTAAGTACGATCTTGAGACGCTTGTTTGTATTAAAAATATTATTTTTGTATCACTAACACGAACGGTTAGTGTTCCTTTTAGGTACTTCCTTGAATAGTTTTGATATCATCAGAGGATTTTTACTTTTTTCTTCCTTATTCAGACTCTCTACGTAAACTGGTAGGTATTCTTTAATATCTTTACTTTATCTAAGTAGAAATACAATATCTTCTATCCATGTTTGGTATAAAAATTAAAAAGCCTTCAATTTATTCGAAGGTTTTTCTTTTGACGCGCTAAGTTTCCTTTTCTATTTATTGGTTTCAGACCAACTCAACAATATTATCAACTTCATCATTTAAATCCTTTTTATTGCTGCTTATTTGCAGGTTGTACAATTTCATAATAAATACATAATAGAAATAAGAGATTTTAAAATCCGCGCTTTTATTTTCCCGCTGAAAAGCCAAATCCAAACAACATGTCATTGTGACATTGTGACCATGTTGCCATGTGCACCATAATTACGGTTAATAAACCTAAATTGACATGGACCAGGAGGCCTATTCGCTAACCGCTTTTGACAGATGGAAGTGATACATCACCGAGATTTTTAGTAATCCACTAATGCTTTATTATAACGCCACTATGATACTTGTTCTGAAAATCATCTATGGATATGCAAGTTTCCCTTTAGATAAACACTGAGTAAGTGTCAAAAAAGTTAGCGAATATCCCGGCCCGTCTCTGAGGTAATATTTAAGAGAACCGTTTGTTGAGGGGTGATCTATTTACTGCACCGATTTCATATGCAAAATCATTGATATCACAGAAGATGATGATTCGTTATTTATAAATTCTCCTGTATAACGGATGTGCACTGAATAGTCTGAAGTGGGTTTTTTTATATCGATTTGAGATTGATCGTTTACTCTTTCTTTTCAAATGAAATGTTAACGTTTTAATATTTTTTAGGGTTCCGTAACTCAAAACGAAAAAACCGAACCCTTATAGAATCACTAAACCTAATACTCATGTCTACTATCCCTTGGAGCTATAAAAAAATCAAACTTATAAGCCAAAGCAATCAGAAGATACTGCCGTTTATGCCGCAAATTTTCGAAACTCGCACGAGGATCAAAACCTACAGGATTAAAATCCCGTGAACTTAGAATCTTGAAGTTTGGTACGTCTCTTAAAATACAGATATAGGAAAAATTGCGAAAACCGTAAATTTTTAGTTACATCATACAATAAAAAAACGAGCGAGCCTTAAAGTAGTCGCGTATGATGTGTACCTAAAATTTGAAACCTCACCTTATATAAGTAAAAAAAGAAATAAATCCTACTACAAAAGGAATAAGCCATTTAAACATCATGTTCTAAAATCAAATCAAATAGCGCGCGCTTTCGTGACTTCCCGTAACACACTTCCGTCCCATTTCACGAAATCACTCCCACAAATTGCAGGAAAGCGAGAGGAAAGATGTTACACATCAAAAATTTTTTTGAAAATTTTTAAGTTACTACCTCTTTTCTCATGAACCCCGTAGTCCAACTTGCACTTGGCCGGTTTTTAATGGATTAGAGCTGCGTTTCGAAGAACCAACTTCAACCAACAAGTTCATTTAAAGTGTATATATGACTATGATTACCAGACTGGGGATTTTTTGGAATTCTGGAAAAAAATAGACTCTTGGGGAAATTTTTTGGGAAATAGTATCTTTGGGGAAACTGTTGGGAAAAACAAATACACTATGGGGAATTTTGGGGCTAGCACTTCTAAAACACACGAGTTTTAAGCAATGAAATAAACATCCTTTTTTATTCGACTAACATCCTGGCTAAATGCAAGAATCCAAAACCATTTAAAATAGTCAAGCTTTATAGTCTTATTTACAATATGAGATGGAAGTTGACTAAAATACTTGTTATGTCATTTTCAAATTGACTACACTGTATGAAATAAAACAGAGAAAAAAGGAGCCCTAGCTGAGTTTCTTGCCGTTTCCTCTTAGTACAAGGTCTCCCACTCTATATTTGTGAGTCGATGGCATAACTTTCGACATTTAAATGTAAAAACCTAGTCAATATTAAATTTTGATTTTATTTGTTTGAACAATTTCGGATTTTGGACACCAAATCGAGGCACTACTAATACTTAGGCCTCAGTAGGTAGTAGATATGTTACTAACAACGTACTCGTTCGTAGTAATCGTAAGCTTTTTTTTAATACCTACTTATTGTACCTATCTAGTTTTCTAAAAAAAAAATTTATTTTAATAATCTGAATTCTGGTGTCGTTGGCGTAAATCTGAATTTGAAGATGGCAACATTATATTCTGAAATGACAAAAGAGAAGACGAAAAAGTCCTTTGCACGTACCGGTGAAATTAAATAATTATTATCATCGCTTGAAACCGTTTTAAATACTTTTTGTGTATGGAATGATTATTTCATATACTTTTGGAGGTATCTACAAAGTGTAACTAAAGTATCTGTGCCCCTTTTAATTGAATAAGTCTACATTTTGTTGTGATAAAATTATTGATCTTTTGAATTGCTCATCAATCAACATCATGATTCCAAATGAGATCTTCGCTGAGGATTTAATGAGCACGGTGATCAGATATGGCCTATACATTGGCGCGGCTTTCCAGCTAGTCTGTCTTCTTGCTTGTGTAACTCTTACCGATGAACAAAGCGAGCTACACCCCTATGAAAAGGTAAGCAACAGTGACGGAAAAATGTTCTGAAAATTTTTCAATAAATTGATATGCTAATGGCCTTGTAATATGTACTGCTGTTTCAAATTAACCCATAAAATATATTCAAACCTTTAATTAGGAATAAGAAAGACTACGCCATAGGGCTTAGTAAAAAAGGTACCTACTTCTATTGAGAAGTTACCTATTTTAGTTTAAAGAATTAAAGATTTTTTATTTTATATTTTCAGAGCTACACTGATAGTGATGAGTGTAGTTCAGAACAATCGTCACCTGGGCACAGAGCTACCATGTCCCGAGCTCGGAGACATGACAAGAAAAAGCGCCGTTAGCTAAGGCTTAGGATGTGAAAGCGAAAATAATTGGCATTTCTGTTCTTTCAAGTTCAGTACATTTGACTTTTAAGTGTATTAGTTAATACTATAACAACCACAAGGCTTCTGATTACAATGCAAGATTAGCCACATCATTGTGGCTTTAAATGGGAAATAATTCATAAAAAACCTACAAATACTTTTCTTATTCAACCGCAACTAAAAATTAAGATGTACATTTAATTGTAGTTGAATAAGTAAAGTATTTGTAGGTTTTTCCCTCAAAATGATTATATTTAAGTCACTAGTGGATAATTTAAAATTGTAGTTGCTAATTTATGTATTTTAATCTTTTGAATCTTAATTATATTATTTTTGTATAAATTTTTTGGTTATGTGATTATACAATTACTTTATTATTTCTTACTTTGTTATTTTCAATATGAACGTTTATACAATGCATTGTTAAAAAGTTATTAGAAGTAACTAGATCAAATGCAGGAGTAGGTACGTAATCAGTGTAAACCAATTATGAACAACTATTAATCATGCTTATTTTTATTTTAATAGTTATAGTGAGAAACATTGAAACTAAGATAGAAATCTACTTTGAGCATGATAAAGATTTGTTACTGTCCAATTTAGTTCCAAGTTCAGAGAATCATGTCAAAGACAGCCCATAATGTATTTAACATTTGTATAAACATATTGTGAACTTCTGAGTAAATAGCCTGTACTGTAAGAGACTTTGGTTTATTGATTTCTTTAACCCTTTTTAATTAACAAGTGCTTTGAACCTTACAGCCATACTTACCTAGAGTTAAATTTAATGCTTGTCAAACTAATGTCTCTATTTCTATTATAAAGAAATTGACAGCTTCATCTTTAAACTCTTAAAACGTTAACTCACGTCACTGAGTGTGGCTGTAAGCGCAAAACAATCTTCTCCAACACAAATGTTATAAAAAAGCTGTCCAGGAACGTTCAAACACACTTTTTTAAAACATGTCAAAGTTATGAATGAAACATCTTAAAACATTCTGTCTAGTATTTACCTTTAATTTTGTTGTATTGTATGTACAATACAATATGTGGAAAGCATGTTTAGGTATAACCACTAAAACTAAAACACTTTGTAATTTCAAATGGACATTTATCATAAATAAAATACATAACATTTTATAAAGCTTTTATTTGTTAAATCGACTAGAAATCTTAAAATATTAATAATTGTCGGTATGTATTTATTAACTTTAAAATATAAAAACATCTCAATACATATTTCAACATTTGTACACTATTAAGTAAAATGTAAGTACATAGGTACAACAATAAGAATAAGGCACTCGTAGTACTAATAGCACCAAATCTCAGATTTATGAGTATAATATCCCCAAAAGGAAACAATAGGGTATTTGACAAGTTTTAGAAAACAATCTCTCGTTATTTACTTATGTTTATGGAGTCTATAAAAAGTGCATATTCATCATCCTGTTGTGTATTTCAGTAATAATAACTAAATCTAAAACTCTATTTTCAAGTTGCCGCGTAAACGTATCTCTGGACAATAGGCGTCTCTGGTACACGTCGTCACTGCTATGTGACATCACACGACTGTCATTTAAACGTCAAATGATACAATGAAATGTCACTTTAACTGGATGTTTCCTAGTGTGTGACGTTATTTTAGGCTCCGCCTATCCCAGGCGTTCTCGGTCACGTGACAATAGGTAAGAAAAAACTATTATCTTTTTCGTGGGTTTTTAGATTTTTTTTTAAATATGAATATTTTTTTCTGTTAAAATAGTAAAACCCCTACCAATATTCATTCGAAATACAGATGCTAACAATTGGCACTTTATTTTTAATACTGTCAAATACCCTATTACTAGTTTATGGCACTTGATTTGCGAAATATTGCACTTAATAACATTAAAAATATATGTATAAGAATATAATTTGTACATATTATATAGTATAAACATTGACAACTATGAGTGTACATGAAGCACACTAAATGTATAAAAGTACATTATTAGAAGTTTGCGATCGACCACTTGCGAATCGACGCGTGCGCAGAGTCAACTGATAATTAATTGAAAATCAAGCAATTATTTCTACTCGACTCTGCGTCAGTATAAATTGATCTTTACGGCATATAGGCTGGACCTAGGCTAGAAGTCAACCAATAACTTCTACAAATATACCATACATAATTGCACTTTTGCAATGTGATGTATGAAGTCGACATGGATTTTAGTTGTCTTTGATTTATGTTCAATTTATTTGACAATAAATTACAGGGCAATAGCAAATACATGACACATGGCACCAAATAACGTAAAATACACAGATTAAAGAAATGATGCCCAAAATATTTGGACAGCCACATCAAGTTACCCAACTATTAAAATAACATATCGGTCTTATTTCTATGCTACCTTGATGTGCACTAAAAACTTATTATTGGCTATATTTGTGCTGAAAATAATGTTTTGGTCAACTTTATTTCGCAAACATTCGAATTATTTGTTAAAATTATCAACTGGGCTATACAAATAAGCCCTGTGAAGTGCCACTATTCACATAAATGTAAAGACAGCCACATCAAGTTACTCAACTGTTAAAAAAATTTCAAACAAATTTTGAACCTTATCTTCCTACATATAAGCTTCCAAATTGATGGAGAACATTTGACACTTCGTGATAACTTGAAGTGTTACAGGTACTTAAAAAATGGCATTTTATGACACTACCGACATATTAGATACACTGACAACATAGTATTTTACATTTTAAGAATATTTTTCAATGAAAATTTCTTCTACAAGCACATCTACCTGCCAGTGTTAAATTCATTTTTATATAGGTATTTTATTACTAAGATTTTATTGGGCAAGATTTATTTAGCAATATTCGCTATAACAAATGCAAAAACATTCTTATAACTACGTAGTGCGTACTTATATCGGGGTCGTTTGTATAACTTCAACACGTCTTATAACAATATCTTTTATTTTGACCTTAGAATGTCAGAGCCATATTTTCTCACGTAAATATAATCCGGAATTTGTCCACATTATTTTTTATCCATATAATATACATATTGTGTTATAATTCTTATAAAATATCTACCTAACTGTTATTAGAAAGGTCAAATGAAGTTTTGATTGGTAGTGAAGTTATAATATACTCTCATTTTATTTTCATTGGCAATTAAGTATTTAAAAAATGGATAATAAAATGTATACGAATAGAGAAATTAAAAAAACATACCGATTTCACATTTGCGACCTAGTAGCGATACTTCAATGCAAGGAACAATGCTTTTGTACAATATTAAATGCAGCGGATTTTTAAAGCGACTACAAGCGATTATAGACTCGTCGATAGGTTGAAATTGTGGGCTTTCAGAGCGTGCAACAGATCGTTATCGTTCAGAAACTGTTTGAATGCATCCACTTTCTTGAAACATATGGTGACACAGCAGGACTTTTCTTTGGAGTTTTCACCATCTTTACCGCAACACGAATCGGAACTTTTAAGTGAACTGCCTTTCTCCCAATCACTGTTACATTGCGTTGATCCACTCGAACAAGAACACTTTAAAGTGTCGATTATTTCATGAGCTGGCGAAGGAGCTGAGTCCTCGCATTCGTGTAGGGTAAAAACTCCTAATTCCTCCAAACTGTAATTAACGTGCCGTTTATGATAGTGCAAAAACGTATTGTGATTAGTGTCAGTTGCTCGACCGCAGCCTACGGCGCATTTCATAGCGGCGTGATCGCATTTGCAATCGACACACGAGCATTTGTCTTCCGTACAACCCTGACTTTTCTTAGGTTCATCGTTATTGCAACATTCACCCTTTGAAGGATCACACTCGCACTTTTTACACGAACATATTCCAGCGTCTGCCGCTAATTGTTCCAATGCGTTTCTTTTAGCGATCTCTTTCCCGAATATGTTTTCCGTCCTCACCACATACATATCTGAAGGTGGTTCGTTGTCGAACAATAGTGTATCTTCCAAGTCAAGATCTGTGTTAAACAAAACCGAATTCGCTGGATTTATTTCGATATTCTGTTGCACTTTTGACGGTGGCGGAGTATTGAGCGATCTATCTTCAACTGAGTCTTTGAGGAAGTTATCAATGTCAGAGTCGAGTTTATTCACTTCCAAGTTGGTAACAAGCTCACTATCGTTAAACACTTTATCACCGACGTCCAGTATGCTCGGAGTGTCCAATTCGAAAGATTCTTGAGTTATAACATTGGCTGTGGGCGCTGCTTCAGTGTTTAAATCTATATAACTTTGCATATGAGTAGGAACGAAAGTGGCAAGAGTGAAAATGCTTTCAGGCGTCTCCTCTTTGATGCTTACTGGAGTTTCTGATATAGAAGCAGCCAAAGCACTCACATCGACCCAAGGAGCTTGTACCTCAATTTCGTTGGCTAACGCAAGTTGCATGGCTTTAGATTTGCCGTCAATTTTAGTATTCGTTTCAATTGGCACAGGTAATGGCGTAGCGTTTTCTATCGCGTTCGTTAATGGTGTAACAACGTCAATTGACGGAGGTAAAGTTGTTACGATTGGATCTAAGCCGCATGCATCGATCCAATTCTCTTTCTTTTTCTCGACCTCATAAGGAGACACCCCGATATTCGTTAAATCGTAGTCGATTGGTTTCGTTAAGTTAGTAGGGTTATAAAATAGAAGTTCGGTAATATCTACATTGCTGTTTGTGTTATTGACAGGATCTACCCTCGTGATATTGTTTAAGCTCTCGTTTGTGGAGCTACATTCTGTGGTGATTTTACCGAATGATTCCAAGAGCCCATCCCAGTTCATCAAATCGGTCGTGGGTTTGGCTGGCTGGAGTTCGGTAATGTGGGGCTCCGTTTCGACCTGTAAAAAAAACAACATCAAATGTTTTGATAAACATCAAAAAATCAAATCATCAGATGTTTTAGCGTAACGCAATTTATGCATAAAATTTTATAAATGTAATTATATACATTTTCTAATATCCATGCTTTGCCACTTTCATTTATTTGGGAAAGGAAAATGGGCATAGCTATTTTAATTCCAATCTACCCATCCAGTAATCAACCGCGCTACTATTGCGCTATTAAGTTCCACGTACCAAGCTCTCATGGAATTCATAATTGAAAGATTTGGAATCACGGAGGACTAACAGCCAGTTTCAATATAAACCTCCAGTATAAATAAAATAAATACTAGCTCCGTTACAAATCTGTTACTGTAGTCCAATAAAAATATCTTAGCAAGAAAGGTCTACCTTTTACTGGAGTTTGGTTATTGAAACTGGCCGCTAGAGCTCTTTTATTAAGACAGCACTAATGTTTTAATGACTGACACAGTAATTTGCCTAGCTAAATGAAAAGCAGATCAAACGCGCGAAAATTATATATAAATATAAATAGACCCGTGGTCGAATCTTATGTTAAACCTTCCAATAACTATGGGCGTAAGTCTTGAAAGTGATTATGACGGAGAACTATTGTCAGCAGACAGTATGACGCCTTCAGGGACTTCCCGTAGACGCCTATTACGCATAAGCACGTACAAATGGGAATCTGACTTCAGAAACCCATGGGACCCTACCGTATGTCTTTTGATGTGGGTTTTGAGACTGTTGGTGATGGAGAACTGTTTGCCGCAGCCAGTACAATGCCTTTAATAGCCTCAAAAAGCCATCTATTATGCATCTGCGGAAACCTAAGGGGATTCCTTAAGTACCTGATGTCTCTTGGCGTAGGTCTTGAGGCTCCTCGTAGTGGAAAATTGCTAAATGAAGAGAGGTACACGTCAGCCGTCCGTTACAGGTTAAGAAAGGCCAAAGGGGAAGGTCTTCCACCGAGCTGGGTGATGTAAGCTCGGAGCCAAGGTCCGACTGATGTCGATCGATCATTGTATAAATGATGTATTAGCCTCCAAAGTTCTCTAGCGCGATGTAAGCTTTCCATACTATGAAAGGCGCCGCCAGTAGCGCCATGTCTTGACAAGGTGAGTGATTTCATCTTCCATTAGTTACCTATATGTGGGACGTGAAGATATCTCCGCCACACGGTAACTGATAGAAAACTGTTTGCAGACACCTATGGCAACCCACCTGTTTCTCGGCGTGGGTCTTGAGGCTGGTCGTAATGAAAAACTGCTAAATGAAGAGGGATTCCACAGACACAAGCGGTATCACCCCAAGTGGCTCCATTATTGCGCTTTCAAGTGGTGTGACACCTATAAGAACTTTCCGAAGCCCTCTATTACGTATCAGAAACGTATGAAGTCTACCTGATGTCTCTTGGCGTGGGGCTTGATACTGGTGGTGTAGAGAACTGTTTGCCGCAGAAGTTACGATGCCCTTAAAAACTTATCATAGTCGTATAATAGTCGTTAAGCATCTGCAGGAACCGATGGCAACCTACCTGATGTCTCTTGGTGTAGATCTTGAGATTAGAGGTGATGGAGAACTATTAGCCGAAGACGGTACGATCTATGCTTTTAAGGAATTTCCAAGGCTAAATATTACGCATCTGCAGCAACCTATGGAAACCTACCTGATGTCTCTTGGCGTGGGTCTTGAGGCTGGTGGTAGTAGAGAACTGTTTGCCGCAGCCGGGCTCCACGCACGCGTGCGGCCGCGAGCCGGAGTGGGTGCGGGAATGCGCCTTCAGGTGGTGCGACGCCGTGAATGACTTCCCACAGCCGTCTGTTACGCATCTAAACACGTAACAAAAGGCACATAGCTAAATCTTCATACATATCTAAGTTCTTGAAACCGTAACTTTAGAATCCATTTTTAAGGATCTCAGAAGTAAGAATGTCCAGCCAACAAATATTCACTTACAGTGTGCATTGAGTCCGTGACAAGTCTTCCGCGAATATTTTTTACGATTCAGAGACTTTTGTCCTGCCTCGTCTGCGCAAGCCATTATATTTATTCCTAGTGTCATTAGTAGACAATCACGAGAAAAATTCACAAATTTAATCTCTTACAAAAAAACTAGCACATTTTTAATTTAGATAAATAAGCCAGTGTGTTGCCTTATATAAAATTCAGTTTACTAACTTCCACAGCTTGTATCAGAACAAATGTGTGGACACCAATGTGTTAATCCATGAGTGTTAAGACAAAAGTAATCTGGGGGAATTTAATGATCCCTATACCCACGGCAAAGTCCTTTAAAAGCCTTACAGGTTTTAAAAGGACTATTCACTCAAGGGGTATTGTTGCTTTCGCTTTCTCTGGCTGAATAAGGAAACAAACACTTACTTGTAAGGTCTTTCTTGTGTATGTGTGCGAACATGCTTTTTCAAATCGCTAAGTGTCGTAAAGAATTTTGTACAACCGTCAGCTTGACAGTTAAATGTATCCCCGCTATGGAGTCTTTGGTGTGCCCTGAGTCTGGAAAATGAAAAGAAAATATACAAATTAATTAACTTTTAATTTGTCAGGTATTAACAAAATATTTTGAAAAAGATTTGTATTCTAAACAACATCTGCGTAAATAAAAATACAATGATATTGATATCATAGACTAAAATCAAATACAAGACTATAAATCAAACCAACTGTTTATACATTAAATATCCAAAACATTTAACAACTCCAACTAAACAGAAAATTAATTTAAAGATATTAGAAAACAAATCTTATAGTTTCTAAACAAATAATTAACTTTTGCTTACCTATTTCATTTAGAGATAAATAGTTTTAAGATTGGCATCAGTCCAAAATTAGTAAATTACTGTCAGTAGGTATTATTTTTTATGTACTATAATTTTAAAATTAGCTACAACAGTGACAAACAGCCTCCTCATATTTGTATATGTATTGTAATAGGTCTAGTGCTTTAAAAGATAGTTGGTCCATTGTTGTGTAATGGAACTAAAACATAGACCCTGAACTTTGGATGAAAAGGTATCTCGAAAACTATTTTAAATATTATTAGAAAAATATTTTTTTGTTCTCCACACATCACAATTTTGTTCGTAATATTAGTACCAGTGTCCTTGGCTTTTTGACATTTAGTTAAATTCATATGGCAGGGTGAAGCTCTTGTTTATTAAATTAATTTACTGCCTATTAGTGTAGAACATAAAATAGTTACAATTTAAGCTTACTACAAAAAAGACATAATCCCGGTGTTATGGAGTCGAGGACAGAATTGCTGTTGTTATGAAAAGAAGAGGATCTGGTGTGTTTTACAATACAGTGCTATAGAACTGATAAATGCTTTTGTACTGTGTAAAACTATGTACATCCAAACAAGTTTTAAATCATATAAAACTTATTATGTGGTTACATTACCTTTATGACACTAAATATTAATTTTTAGACACATTTTTTACTTTTATTCAGAATGTTTTTAACATAATACATAAATCATAAACAATTTTTTATGTAAAGTTTCTTTGAGTACAATTTTGCAAGGATATGTCATAAAGTATTAGAATACAAAATTAAAATATAAAATTAAGAAAAGGCAATAAAGACTGACCTGTAAAGTGTATTAAAGGCTTTCTTGCAGTTTCCTATGGTGCAAGCGAATGGTTTTGTCTTTGTGTGTGCTCGTACATGTATTTTCAAACTGTATGAAGTGAGAAAAGCTTTATTGCACATTTGAATAGGACATTTAAACCTGTATTCCCCTGAAATGTAAATTATTAATAAAACAGTATTATAACAAAAGTAATTTATAGGTGTGGAATGAAAGAAAGCATAAAAATAAATTTGCACAAATAAAGCACACAAGCAGACACAGTCAACTGATATTTTTTATTGCAATCACATCAAGTAATGACCCTGCAGTCTTGAAAAGGTATGGGTCACTTTAATTTAACATTGACACAAACAAATTTTATTTTCAATTTCAATACAGTACTCTTCCCATACCTTTGTGTGTTTTCATGTGAGTACGCAGATTGCCAACTGTGCTGTATGTACGTTCACAGCCTTCATATTCGCATTTGTATCTCGCATTATTGTCATCTGATGCCCTTTTGCTTTTATCCATGTTCTTAGATATATCCACATTGTTTTTTGGCATATTTGATGAAGGTTCATTGTGACTAAAACATTCAACCATTAAAAACTGTTCCACAATAATATCACATCCATTAGGTTATGTGAAAATAATGAATAGCAATGTATGATAAAACCTTTGATTTTATTGTATTAGTTAACCTCAATTATGGAGTTTCGAGATCAAATTTCATTGGAAATGTTAAAATGTTAATTACCTCTTGGTAGCCACTTGGAATAAGATCGTTGAAGAACACAGAAATTAGGATATTCGCATCACATCATGATGGTAATGTACCAAAATAGAATGCCCAAAAATGAAACACGTGAGGAAGACCACAATAAACAAGTCATAGTGAGTGAGCGAGATGGCGATATATTGACAAACAGCTGATTGAATAATAGGTAAGTTTTGATGAAATGAGAAACTGCAGCTATAAAATTTGTTATTGTTCTGAAAGAGGCAGCAGGAAATTCATATTATCCGATAGACTTACTATAACAGTTCGTCATTTCTTTTGGTCACTGCATCGTTGGTTATTGTATTGGTTTCCAGACTCACATTTTGCCGGACCAGCGTTTCGTTGAAAGAAACACTGAACAAACTTAAATCTTTATCCAAATCTTCACAATTTAAATTAATTTTACTTATACCAAGACCTTCTTCAACAAGATTATCATTATCATTATAATTTAAATTTTGATCAGCTGAGAACCTGCTGTCAACTGTCCAAGCGGCCATGATGGATGGATTGTCAAATGTCTCAGCTGTCATAGAAAATGTCATCTCCACACCCACACTTTAACCAACATCATAGACGTCATAGATTTTTATAAAATGGAGACAGTCAATTAGATCAATTTCTCAATAAAAGGATAGATCCCATTAATAACTACAATTCACTTCACTATGATAAAAATAAATACCTATCAGTTGCTTGTTTTTTCGTTTTCATAACGTAGTGAACTCAAGGCATTGTTGTTTACGTGACTTACAATAGTGTTTTAACCAAGTTCAGATAGATGGAGTTGTTTCAACATTGAGTTTTGAGAGTTCAAAACTTATCACGCCGACTGCCGCCGGTCGCCCGCCGGTACTGAGGACTCTCGGCTAAACTCCCGTTATAATGAAACACCACTTGTTGTCTGAGCGGGCAGTGCGTCGACCGCACGCCCTTCCACTTACGCGAATGTATCATCTTCACATTCGGACAAAATTTCGCATATAAAACTGTGTCGCACTATTCAATAAATATTATTAGTTCAATTATTATTACGGCTTAATTTATAAAAATGTGTTTAAGAAGTTTATCAGTTTACGTTTACTCGGTAAGTTAATTAATTATCTTTTCTATTTTTACAAACAAACAATTATTTCTATTAATACTTCTCTACAAATATTGTAAAAAATATTATAAAATAGAAGTGTTTTTTTTTATTTCCTTTATTTTATTTAAATGTCTTTTGTTATTTCTATTGATATCGTTATAATTAGACCACAAAACTACTCACGCAAAGTTTTGATACCTATCTTATAAAGGCAGAATTATTAATAATAAATAAATTATGTAATGTATAATTACTGTAATATTTGTTAAAGCTAATTTTGGATATGTTGAATTTTTTTAACAAACTACCATTTACGTGTGTGTATTATTAACTTAGGAGTACTTATTTGCTAATCAAAATTTCCAAAATATTTATTTTACTTACTTATTCCTAATCTATTTACTTAAATACTATTTGTTTGGAAGGAGAGCGATGTTATAACTTTTGACAATCAACTTAAAAAAATAGTTACGTTATCCTATTCAACGCTCGGCTGACTCATTGCCTATGCATTCGGAGCGAGTAAACCGTTGAGATAGATAGGTAAAAAAGGCATGAAACAGTGGGTGAAGCTTATCTCCCAGTTAACTGTTAACTTCTAGGCACCCATTCGGTTTGTGTGTTACCTACTGAGAATGTGCATTAACCAGCCATTAGCCTTAAGGTTGCTGACCGGTGACAAAGTTTCTAGAGAACTTTGAGGATTTGAAGATAAACGGAAGTTAATGAGTCTACCCTTAAGTGATGAATGTGATAAATTAAAATTAAATACGCGGAAGTACCTATGCATTATGCACAACAGGAAACTTTCAAAACTCAGCTATTTAAGTACTTACCTGAAACTTTGCTACTCCAACCAGATTCAGTGGTCTCCTCTAAGTTTGACTCTTAGCGCACATTAAGGAGTCGATTCTGGCATGATTCTCTAAAACTAAACTTAAAGTCGACAACAGTGTAGCCAGGTCATTCTCTATGCACAGTGAAACGTTGAGAAGGATTTTAAATTTAGTTTTGAGTTGAGAGAATCCCGCCAGAATCGACACCATTATCTTATTTTAAACTAAGTTGTTGTTAAATATCATTTCTGTTAAATTCTGATGAGTTTCATGCGCTCATTCTTCTTATCAACTTAAAGCTGTTGTGTAAAGACGAGGAAAAATATTGAATGATTTTAGAGAGCTTTGAATAGGTCAATTTGAATGAAATATAATCTTGATTTATTATTTTCTTTGATAATTTCATTCAAGCTGAACAATTACTGTAATCTGCAATGTTTAAAGATAGAATTCTTCCTGTTATCTTTAAATATCGAGACACACATACAGAGCTCTAATAATTACCGAGCAAACAAATAATGGCAAAACTTTTTTAGCGCTTTAAACAGTTTCTTCCTATTTACGAAATCGACTACGTATCGACTAGTTCTATACTTACAGTTATTATCACCTAATGTGCTAAAACATTTGGACTGTATGCTAGAATTTCCATTAAGGTACCTTAATATTTAGTAGCTACAAAGTAAAGTTTGCAATAGGTAGTTAGGTACTTACTTTTTGTTTCACTTTCGAGTGCAAACTTATTTTAGATGAGATTCTGAATAAAATATTAAAACAACGATATTAAAATTGAAATCAAAAAAATCGTATGGGTTTTCCCTAAACAGCATTTATTGCATTTAAAGAAATATATTAAGACCCGCGTTTACATTACCTATGTATCATTATATTTTTGAAATGATGCCAAATGCAGAGAGAAACTATCATATAAATAGAAATATAAGGCTTTCGTGATTACTTGGAAGATGTTATGTGTAAAGATAAAGTACGGTTACTCGGAAATCAAGCTTCTAAATGTCGTCCAAGAACGTGCTTTCCATACAATAGAGCTAAGAGACCACTGACCACTTTCGCTGCTTTTTCTTTATACAATTTTCACTTTTGCATTGACTTCCTGATATTATCCACTGGGACAATAGAGATACATTCAACGTGTGTCCCACAGGAAAACTATTGCATTACTCGTAGACTAATAACAATGCTAATGAGTAAGGAGTTCCATTCATAATATTAATAATATGCTGTAATGGGAGCTGATACTCAGGTTACACCTTTCGGTGTAATTCGAGTGCTATCTTGGGAGAAACTTAAGATTTCACCAAGCCAATCAGCAGTCAATGCACTTAAATACTTAAGTATCAAATGAGTTGGTTGTAAAACAAACCAACGGACATATGCTGCGCTTACCTACACTTGACACCGGTCCACACAAACAGTTCAATGACATGTTACTTATACGTGAATGACCCAGATATTTTACACTGGCACTTTCTTCTTGAGGGTCTTTTTGATTCGTAGCGCATCGCTTACATGACTCTATTGTTTTCGATGCAACAGAGGCCGGACGTTGGTAATTGTCAAGAATTATATAGGTCAATATATTTACACATACCTTGAAATCAAACAAGGTCATAGATAATAACGAACTCTCCAAAAATATTTTCCATTGTTACAATACAAACAATCCTATTTGATAAAGCATTTGATTGTTTACATTTTGTCCTCCAATCCAATCCAATCTGCTGAATCATCAATATAATCCTATATTATTTGAAATAAGCACAAGAAAAAGGACAGGTTTCATTTGTTTGTCATAGCTGGTCCGAGACTGTGGTTGCGGGAACTGTGTTATTCGGCCACGGCATACATACCGTACCCCCGATGGTTCACGAGCCGCCTGATATCGTGAGCCAGCCGATCGACTATACAATTTATGATAGAGAAGCAACTGCTTCATAAAACCCAATTCATATTTACGCGGCCGAAGAAATCCAGAACTCGTTAATGAAACAAATCATCATAAATAAAGCGTAACGTTTGCCGTGTTTTTGATTTATAGCGATTTTCTTTATTTTAAATGAAATGAAGAAAGCTGGAACATTATTTGCTTTTCTCGTTTCACACTGAGAATAAATTTCAATGAACGTGGAAGCGTAATAAACAACACTTACTTTTTTGAAGTGAAACTTTCATATGTAAAAGACGAAACGGAAATGCATCACCACGAGCGTCACACGACCACACACACACACACATATATCTTTATGTGTGTGTGTGTGTGTGTGTGTGTGATGCGTGGACTGCTCCATTCCCCTAAGCCTTATGCACCGCTTAATGTTAGGTAATTTAAGGAAAGAAGTTTCACTTCAGATAAGTGATCCGCGCACACAAATTTTTGATGTATCATACTTGCAGTTTTATTTATCCACGTAAAATTTTAGGATTTTTTAATGAAGTTTCAATGTAGCGATCAATAAATTACATTAAATAATAGCCAAAAATTGCAACAGATTGTTTAACAATTACAGGTGCTGTTGACTTTTTGCATAGCAGCAGACTGCGGCCCAAGATTAAAATATGCCTGGGGAGATGCTCTCCAAAGCAATGACTGCCCAGGACCCGATGGCACTCCTTATCCAAAGTAGGTACTTAATTACTTAGTAATAAGTATCGGCATTAATGATTTGTCACATCCCTTTATAGGTATATTTTTTTCACTACTTTTACCCTAAAAACATCTTTCAAGTCTCTGATTTCTTTTCAATGTCCTTACACCTAATGCTATACAGTCAAACGCTTAAAAGCTTGTAAAAGTTTTTAACAGAAATGATTTTTAATTTATTTTTGATGAGTTTTTTTTTGGTGTTTATATTTTGATAATTGGAGAGAAACATTTTCAAGCGTAACGAAATTCTAGGTTCCTGTGTAAAGTTAATACGTGACGACAACCGACAAATGTATAAATAAATTCCTTGTTATAAAATTAAACATGACTAGGTACTGCTTTCTTTTGCAATAGACAAAGACTAAGCGCATTGCTCTAAGGACAAAGACCATGAAATTATTGACAGTGATAGTGTCAATAATATTGATAAAATCGGCACCTACTTTGATTTAAGATTTATCTTTTACTTGACATTGGCAAAATGCACAAAACTTGAAAAAATAATTATTTATTGGGGGGAAACTTAAACATTGAATCATTGAAAAAAAAACTTTTAAAGTGTTGACTGCAGCACCACCTTTCGCGTAAAGTGTGTAGGTCAAAATAAGTTTTAATATTTTTTTTTTCGCGCAACTTCCTAGTAATTATTTTTGTAAAATACTTTTTCAAAGGATCAGAAAACTTAATAAATAGATGAAACTTGTTAAGTCGTTCTTATGTAATGGCGTGATCAAGGGAAATGATATTTTATTTTAATGCAGAGATTAAAAAGATTATAAAAGGTTATAAAAAGTAAATAGTAGTAATTCAACTGACCACTTTACGCGATCATAAACGAAGGAGACATAAAAAACAGCTTTTCTTGCTCTCATTATATCGTACAATAACCTTAGCTCGACGGCAGGGCCGACCGGTTAGATCGGGTAATGTTCGCTCACACTGGATGAAGCGAGTATCGAGCCGCAAGCCATTCGTCGGCATTGCCCGCCATGTTATCGGCAATCTTCGTATTGACGTACGTAAGCCAGAATGCGATGCCAGTAGTGACCGCTACGCCTTTGTGACTGCGTCGCGTGTTATTTTATTGATAAAATACAATTGAATCTCATTAATACTATCATACCGCATAGTGTCATATTGTTACAACGTAGATTGTGATTTGTATCAAGACAGCGCACGGCCAAGACTATGGATAAATCCGATGGTATAGAAAATTGTAAAGAGGACGTTGACAGGGAGCAGTTTTATCAGCGTATACGTGAAGTATGGAAAAGTAAATATTCTAACACATTCCTTCTTACGCAGCAGAAGTACGCGCAAATAATCGAACAGGTAAAGTCCGCTCAATTCAAAGCAAAAAAGACCGCTCTGGACTATCGCCGCTTAAAGAGATACGTTGTTGTGGATACACCGACGGGTGAAAGGCTGTACCTAGCTCGTAAAGACGGAAAGCCATCGCAGCAAATGTTCGTTACTTTGGAAGAAACTTACGATATTATACGCGATTACCATTTGAAGTTCAACCATTGCGGGAAAAACAGGTTAATGAAAGCGATGAAGCTGCTTTACCGCAATATTACAACGGAAAGTGTGATGGTATATTTGCAGCTGTGCATGCCTTGCAAAAACAAATTGGTTAAACGTTCAAGACCTCCAAAGCAGCCTTTAGAAACAACTTTAGAGGAGTCGCCATCTTTAGCTGGAGATAGTAAAATGGATCCCCTCGAAAACGATATCAACATTCAAAATGAAATTGGAGACACTAATATTGTAGAACCTTTTAAATATCCCGAATTGTATTCACGAGCGCAAGTTGATATTTTAGATGTTACTAGTGAACCAGACGAGGAATATAAATTAATTTTAGTTTACAGAGATTATATTAACAAGTATATCCATTTGAAGCCTTTGAAAACTCTAAGTGTGAATGAGACTGTCGAAGCTCTCCTAGAGATATTTCTGATTTTCGGTGCACCCAATATTTTACAATCGAAGAACGGTGTGGACATCATAACGCCGATATGCAGAAGATTGAATGCTGTGCATCCAAGTATAAAAGTAGTACCAAGTGCTGCAGTTTTCAACAATCAAGATTTGAAAGGGAAGACCAATGGGGATATATTGAAGACCTTAAATAGCTGGCTGACTTTGAGTCAAAGTACAAAATGGCAATCAGGTCTCAAATTCGTGCAACATGCTCTGAACACCACTTTTGACGAACGGATCTGTAGAACTCCTAGTGAAATGATTTTCGGGACGAATCCTAGGAAGGGTATAGCTTCTTTCCTGAGTAAGGACGATTGTGATTACATAATGTCTGAGGATGACTTGAAAGTCTCACTTGATCAAAAGCAGAGTCCCCAAAACCAGTCCGTGAAACAATTGAAATTGGAAGAGTCTCTGGTGTCTAATTTTATTAAATTAGAACCGGTTTTATCTGATGGCGACGAAAGTATGAATGAAAATGCATCTGATTAAATTAAAGTTAATTAGAAAGGAACTTAGGTATTTTTTTTTATTTTGCCGTTTGTCACATACCCACTTATTTATAAATGCGGAATAAACTTAACGTAAATACGCCGTGGTTTGTTCATATCGCTCTAATTCCATTTGTAAATTATATCTTATATAGTTAGGACGGATAGAGTACTGTTCCAGTAAATAATGTGAAAATTTTAATAAGGGATATTTTGTAAGGAATAGATAAGACATTAGGAAGGGGTGTCTATTACAAAAAAAACATATTAAAAACAAGAAAATTTTACTACAAAAAAATCCACGCGGATCAGGCAGCAGACGGGACTCGAACCCACACCTTTCGCTATCTGGGCTATTATTCCAAATGTTTAATACTTGTAAAGGTATTCATTTGACATTGTGGGCTACCTACAATGCGAAGAGTTGGCGCTGCCTTGTAGCCTAATAAATACTAGAGAAAATTCGACACAACCATCAGGGCCGCGGAAGCTTAATAGTCAGTGCATTCGCCCGGATAGCGAAGGTTGCGTTTTCGAGTCCCGTCTGCTGTCTAGTTCACGTGATTTTTTTCTGGTAACATTGTCTTTAAATTTAAAAGCCTAGCGGATAAATAGTTAAAAAATAAAAATATATGTAAAATATAGTTTTTTTTTCCAAGCAAGACCTGTTTCACGCTATTTGGATTTTGTTTATACCCATTGCAGCAGGTATTAGTACAACTTTGTAACGTCATGTACATGATAAAGTTAAACTGTATAGTGGGTTACCTATAAAACAATTGTATCATGCGGGTTATAACATATTCAAATTTAAACTCGCTAACAATCAGCTACCATTTATTTGTAATTAGGCCTAATTACAAAATTATATAACTTATAATAGTCTAACATAAATATGAAATTCTAAATAACACGTTTAGTCGGCGACGTATGGCGAGGAGTGGTGTCAGGAAGCCTGTTTTTGAAACACCGGATCATCATAGCTTTCGACCAAAGCTCCTCTTTCAAAAAGGTCGCTAGATGTTCAGTCGGCGACCAGAAATTCCATTTAAGAGGTAGGGCATAGCGAATTTCCGTCTGTGGAAGTAACCTCCACCTTACAGAAGATCACAATCAAAAAACACTTCCTTTTGGTGTTCCTGTCTCAGAGTAAGGTTCCAGGGCTCCATGGGGTATTGGATATTATATCGCAAGCGTCTATAGGCTATGCCGGCCGTTTACGATCAGGCGGGCCATACGATTGTTTGCCATCCTTTCAACATGAGAGAGAGGGGGAGAGAGAGAGAGAGAGAGAGAGAGAGAGAGAGAAACATTTTATTGACCACATTACATCAAAAAAAAATATACAAAAAAAATAACATTTTGAAAATTATAGATAATGAAAAGAGATAAAAAAGAAAAAAAAACATTAATTACATTAAGATATATGGTCAATCAGGACCCTGTCTCAGCAAAATGCTGCCGCAACACGCCACAAGACGTGTCACAGCAGCGCTGGGTATTCTGGCAGGGCCTGTAATATAAAACAACACATCCTAGATCTAATACTAGGTTGACATGGTTGAAAGTTCAAACCTGGCATCTTCACAACGCTACGCAGCTTATTCGTGGATCAACTGTGTATCGTCGTAACACAGTACTGCAAGTGCGACCTTATTTCACGGGCGACCGTGTGAATGGTTTCAACGAACCGTAATAAGTAACAATTTCAAGATATCAGCGAAGCAATTTTCGTTTTCGACTTCCAGGCGGAGTAATTGCAAGATTATCATTATTACATCTGATGATTCAAGACAAAGTATAACGGAACCTCAATGCTTTTAGAAACGGTGGCAGTCAAAAACAAATGAGTGGTCCATTAACTGTGTTTAGGGTTCCGTACACAAAGGGTAAAAACGGGACTCTTTTACTAAGCCCCCGTTGTTTGATACATAGTTAAATGTGACTATAGTTAAAATACTATAGAAAAAAACCATTTGTCAAAATTTTACATGTTTCAAACTATGTATCAAACAACGCGGCCTGACTCCACTTTCCGTGTGTCTGTCTGTCACTAGGCTACTGTATCTCTAGAATCGTGATAGCTAGACAGTTGGCATTTTCAGATGATGTATTTTTATTACCGTTATAACAACAAATACTAAAAACAAATAAAAAAAAATACTTTTTTGACGGGGTTTTTACTTTATATTAATAACGGAAACAGGTAGAATTCCACAAAAAAAATCACTTAATAGCTAGTTGTAAATTCACTTTAAAAATAAATGATTGATATTTGTTTCTTAGGTTTTCACGCACATCACTCATTAAATAAAACTAGTTTTTTACGGGTTAATGGACGAAACTTTATTTATTTATTGACGTTTCGTAGCCTTTACAGGCTACGTCGTCAGAATCAAATTTTATTTTTTATTTTGTCGAGCTGACGCTTTTTATTGAGCGTTCGGTTATTTCATTGTTCAATTTTTAAAATTTTTATTGTCTTTGTATGAATTTATTACTTAATTTAGTTAATAAAGTACTTTATTTAAAATTCTTTTTGTAATTTTGAGTTTATTTATTTGACCCTAACTACCGTAAACTACCACCGGTTCCAAAATTGGGAGACCTTCCTGAGAAGAACCGGCGAAACAAACTCAAGAGAGGCTTTCTATCTCCTTCTTATGTTAAATTATGCAAACAAAAAGAACTAATAGTATCTGTTGGTCTTGCAGTGTGTGCTCGGGGTTGGGATTTTATCTCCTGTATAATGGGTTCCCAAGCTGGTGGTATATACCAACCATCTTCCCTATTGAAATTTGGATATTTTTTAATCTCAATAGCCTCGCGTATCATTCTAGGAACGAAACGTTGCTCAGTTGCAAGGATCTGTGGTTTATCAAATCTAATGTAATGGTCCCCCTAATGCATGTTCAAATTCGAAACGTCAATAAATAAATAAAGTTTCGTGCATTAACCCGTAAAAAACTAGTTTTATTTAATAAATTATTGAATTAAAATAAAATAAATATTTAAGGCTACAGCAGTCCGATACAGCAGACGTGAGTTTTTGCAGGTTTTTTCGATATTATAGTAAGTATACTAATTTTATAATAAATAATGGTTCGGAACGCTTCGCGAGCGAGACCTATTCGCACTTGGCCGGTTTTTTAAAGTTATGTTTATGATGTAGTGCGGACATTGCGAACTAAATAGGTGATTACCGTTAGAATTTCATTACTAAAACCACGACATTGCTGGAATGCATCAAGAATGAATTTCGACGAAGAAAGTAATCAAACAGGAGGTATTAAATAACATAACCTCAAATATCATTTGTTTTTTTAACTACCTAATATGAATATCGAATTAAGATATAATATTTAGCGCGAAAAGTTATGTAAAAAGGTAATACCTGACAAGGTCAAACAGATTTAGATTAAAGACCATGTCCTTATATTTGACGACCTCCGTGGCCGAGTGGTTTTTACGCCGGGTTTCATGGTGTCGCCGACTCGAGAGGGTTCGAATCCCGGTGGGGGCAGATGTTTGTGTGATGAATACGAAAATTTGTACTCCAGTCATGGATGTTTAATATGTCTTCTATATAAATATACTACAGTATATGTATTCTATCCGTTACCCTGGCATCCCATAACACAAGCCTTACAGTGATTACCTTTGGGGCTAGGCTAATTGGTGTGAGTGTTGGAAATATTTATTTATTTATTGTGTAGTCACCGGCTCGAATCCCGCTAGAGACAGTAGGGATAATGACTAACTGTTCTTTCTCCGTCTGTCCGGTAGGTAAGTACCTGACAGACGAAGCTTATTAAAAAGTATTAGACACATATTTCTTCTTATTTTACATAATTAAAACATTACGGAGTTAGCTTTATTGATTTTATTTTCACTCAGAAGTGACGTCACGAGTTTCCACGCCAAAGTTTGACGCGCTTTATCTTTGTAATTTTTTTTGGTTGATTGAGATCAGGAAAAATAAATTCCCATTATATTTTGATAATCTAACTAACAGACTAAATAGAATTTTAGTCACTTTACCCCGTCATCATTCCTATTTTTTTTTATTTATTTATTTATTTATTTAATCATTGATACATATTTTTTTCATATTTTAATACCTTGCCAACCTGTAAACATCAGGTTGTTGGCAAGCCAACGCTCGTTTTCCTTACAGTATCATGTTAAACTAATACTACTGTTATAAACTTACAAATAATATGACTATAAGCTACTGTTAACATATTATGTCTAAGCTATTTTAAAGTGACTATCTGTTACAAATACATAATTTACGCATTATTCAAAAGAGTTTTATTATGCTTCCAATTTGAATAAAGAGATTTTGATTTAAATATTTAGTTACAAAATATCAAGCGGTTCACTGTGAAGATTAACAATGTAATGTGAAAATAATGTTTAAGTACTTATTGATACATAGTTTTTGCTTATACAATAATAATACAAAATAATAATAACAATAATGTGTTCTCATTTCTGTAAAATTTCTTTCAAGGATTTTTTTAATATATGTATGCTAACATTCTTATTTTTTCTTACCCACTCTAATTTGTTTAGAATTTTTGGTATTATATATTTATTTGTTCTCATCCCATAACTATTTTTAACTTTATGTATAATAAACTTCCTTTCCCTAACACTACTTGTATTATACCTATTGACAATGAGGGGTCTATCCCACAATATTATCAATATCTACGAGCTGATTACAATTCTAATTATCTAAATTCACATGAGGAGCTCGATGGCGCAGGTGGTTAGCGCGTTCAGCTGCAAATGTTGAAGTTAAGCAACTTTCGCAGTGGTCGGTCATTGGATGGGTGACCAAAAATTTACTATCTCGAGCTCCTCCGTGTTTCGGAAGGCACGTTAAGCCATTGGTCCCGGCTGCATATGCAGTCGTTAATACCCACCAATCCACACTGGGCCCACGTGGTGGGTCATGGCCCAATCTCCCTATTCCATCCATAGGGAAGGTCTGTGGCCCAGCAGTGGGGACATTAATAGGCCGATGATGAAATTCTCATCAAGTTTATGTTTATACTATTCTTTGTATGTTTGCCTGTGTTGAGTCATTCGCCATGTTACAACCTGCGCTATGTTTGGTGAGTAATCGCCGTGAAAGTTTATCAATTTATTTATTATTCAGCCTACTTAACCATAACGAATTTAGTTTATTGAACAGTGTTGACAACGGGCCAATGTTTTGCATAGTCATGTATGCCAAGTATGGACGAATTCGTTTGTTTAGGATCACAAGATCGCAGCGAGATTAGGATACTAACCGTACCTTTTCGATTGAAAATACGCACAAATTACTAATTATAGACTAGCAGTCGCTCGAGATTTCGTCCGCGTTAACTTTAGTTTTTTGAGAATACCATATAAACCTTACATTTTCCAGGGATAAAATGTATCGTATGTCTCAATCTAGGTCATAAATATATGCGTGCCAAATTTCATCCAAATCCATTCAGTAGTTTTTGGGTGATTGAATAATAAACATACAAATTATCATCAGCATCATCATCAGCCTATTAATGTTCCCACTGCTGGGGCACAGGCCTTCCCTATGCATGGAATAGGGAGATTGGGCCAGGACCCACAACGCGGGCCCGGTGCGGATTGGCGGGTGCTAACGACTGCAGATGCAGCCGGGACCAACGGCTTAACGTGCATTTCGAAGCACGGAGGAACTCGAGATAGAAGATTTTTGGTCACCCATCCAATGACCGACCACTGCGAAAGTTGCTTAACGATCGCAGCCGAACGCGCTAACCACCTGCGCCATCGAGCCCCTCCTAGCTCCTACAAACTTGCACATTTATAATACTTATTAGAAGATTGTCCTTCGATATAGCACAATACAATGACCGCTAAGCTACTGAATTTTTTTATTAGGTATATCATATGCTAGAAAGCAGTGCCACACAACTTCAATAAAGTTCTTACAACCTCTTCCCTGTTTTGTTACATTAAAAGTACAGCTACTAAGTGGCTTTGCGTAGAGATTTCGTTTCGCTCCGCATCTTCTATAGCGTTTATCGATATCTGAAGATAATAATGATAATGATACTTTATTTCCAGGCACTTAGTAAATAGAGCGTTGAAGACGGGGCCCTGGGGTCAGACCAGGCAGGCGCGGAGCACGAATACCCTGGACCCCACCCTCATGAGGCGGGCGCTCCTGCAAGCACACGAAGGATACGCGGAGGGTAGAACGAGACCAGACAACAGAACTGGTATGTGTGAAGGATTACAGGTCGCGGCACGTAACTCTAGTGCTGAACAAAACGCGGAGGGGATAGGGGATATATACTGCGCATGGGTACCACTGGAGAGCCAAGACATCTTTATTTTTACTTCTGCGAAATAACGGTCAGCGCTAGAGTTTCGTGCCGCGACTTATAACTCAGCAATAAACCTTTTGAAGAGATCTATGCCGAAAGCAGTACCCTAGTACGAACCATTATCGAATTCGAATAGTTGAATTCGATATTCGTTCGTGCTAATGGTACAGTTAGTGTTTTCAGTCTGCGATCGTGGAAGTTAAGAAACTTTTGTAATGCCTGGGTTATAGGATGAGTGACCGAAAACGTATTATCTCGAGCTCCTCTGTGCTTCTCAAATCATGTTAAGCCGTTGGTCGTGGCTGCATTCGCAGCAGGGCCCGCGTCGGTAGTCAGGGCCTTATCTTCCTATTCCATCTATAAAACTAAGTTTATACGGATAACGCTTTATATGATATTTATTCAGAGAACGCGTAGCCCACAACGCGTGCCCTGGAACGCGCTATTCATGGAGGGTACGTGTATACAAGTATTTATATCGCGTTCTCGGGTACGCGAAGCCGACTACGGTTACCCTGGAGCGTGCTATCCGTACGCAGCTTAAAAAGCAATGTGCTTCAGCAGTGGGGACTAAAGGATGGTAATGGCGATAACTAGCGAATGGTAAAATGTACAAAGTTGGCTAACACGGACGTAGCCGCCGATGGCAGTTTGGTATCGTGCCAAATGGTGCGATTTCTAAACTCACCATAACATACGTGAAATGTGCTTACCAACTAGGAACCTATCAAGATTTATTGAAAACGCAAGCAAATTCTAGCTTAGTACGTGTAGTTAGAGAGTTAAATAGTACCAGTTAGTACCCCCTAACGCGTGATTAGAGAGTTTAAATGTCGGTAAATAAATAATGACGGCATAACGCATGATTTTATATTTCGCATTTCTATTTATACATTTCCCTACTTTCTTGAGATTGAAGACTGTAGACTTAACTGTAGGTACTAAATTCTAAGACGAGAGGACATTTGTCTTTTGATCACGGAAGCTCAGAGAGAGAGACAAAATCCGATTTGATAGTTATACTAGCTGACCCAGCGAACTTCGTACCTCCATAAAAAGGGGGCTGGTGGTAGAAGGGTGGTACATTTTTTTTTATTTATTTAAAAAATGTACCACCCTTCTAATGTGTGACAGCTAAAGATTTTTCAAATACCTATTTCTCCTATGTGCTTCAGCTCGCGACCACTGAATTACTTCAAGAAAAGGAATTAACTTTGATAGTTTCTGGGCTTAGTAGACCCGTATGGCATCATCGTGGAAAGCGGCATTAAATAAAATGTGGACTCAAACCTAATTTTGGATAACATTTGAATTAGGACTGTAGAGTTTATAAGCAGATAATTAATTTACTATAATAAATAAATAATAAATATTTTCGACACTCACACCAATTAGCCTAGCCCCAAGGTAAGCACTATAAGGCTTGTGTTATGGGATGCTAGGGTAACGGATAGAATACATATACTGTACCTATATAAGTATATTTATATAAATACAAATTAAACATCCATGACTAGAGTACAAATGGTCGTATTCATCACACAAACATCTTCCCCCACCGGGATTCGAACCCGAGACCTCTCGAGTCGGCTACAGCCATGAAACCCGGCGTACAAACCACTCGGCCACGGAGGTCATCTACAATTAATCTGGACTTCAATCTGTGGCAATCTCTTATAGATAACTTCTAAGCAAGAACAGGAACAATGATCCAAAAATAGGTTGACACAAGTTGTTTTTTGTACTTAAGTGTGAACTATACATCTGTTTGATCGCGGGGTTTGTCTAACCAATTTTTTCCACAAGTCGCGCATTCGTGTTCAGTAAACTAGGATGACTGGCAACGCTTATATTTAAATAGCTTTCACACCTAACCTTTGCCGGCACCAGATTGCTTTAACCGGAGTTTATCATCGAGTCATGGTGACTATTTATACAATAGACACAGATTACGGGACATAAATAATATACTCGTAGATCGTGTGAAAATGCGCCTGTAAGGGGTCAAAGTTGTGTCTGCGAAAGCATCTTGGAAATAGCGAGATGCATTCCGCTTATAAAACCCCTAATAGGTACATTTCTGCCTTTCTATCAGATAGTTGCATAGGATTCAGTTGCTTCGACGCAACTGAATCTTCAACGGAATAATCTATTATTATTTTGGGCTATGCAGTTCTTCGTGTTGACCTCTCATTCCTTTTGACGTAGCGTTGCCATAACATTACTTCTGTAACATTTTGCGTTACTTTTGGCACTGTGGCTGTTACCTGGGTCAAAACGTTAAACTTTTGCGTTACTTTTTAATTGAAAGAAAATATGTATTAGGTAAATCTCATTCATTTATCAAATGCCAAATCCCGTTTAACCTAAATTGATAATTGATTTCTTTTATGATCATAGTTTTAACGTTTTGAGTAATATTTTAAGTAATATAAAATAATTATTTACCTTTAATCTTTATTAACTTCTTATTTATCTAAAACAGTTTAAATTACTATTACCTTTTAAGTCCGAACTTTTATCGAAATGTCAGGCTTTTTGTCAGGATTTTTAAATTCCTAAAGGGTAACCCTAGATGTGTCGTCAAACGGTCGTAAACCCTGCCCTTCTCACGTCACCTCTCTGATGCCTTAGTATCTTTTGATAGTACATATCAAAGGCCATCACAACACATCGCGACACACAAATGTATTTCTAACCGTACCTGCTAAATGTATGAAACTGACACTTCTCCGACGCGTTACAACACAACACAATACATACCTATAGTTCTGCCTTTATACGCACAGCTAGAATGTTAAGCGATCTCTCCGTTTTCACTGACCGTTATAACTAGGGTGGCATTTTAGTAACTTCTGCTTGTAATTGTTCATCTTCGTCTCCAGAGCCGGATTTAGGATTGTGGAGGCCCCGGGCCACTTAAGATTTGTATGCTTGTTAACCCATCAAAATTTTGTTATCTTTTATCCTGTTGTGGAGGCCCCTGGCCACTTAGGATTTGCATACTTGTTGACCCATCGAAATTTTGTTATTTCTTAAGCTGTTGTGGAGGCCCCTGGGCCACAGCCCCACCTGCCCCGCCTTTAATTCGGCCCTGAGATTAATATAATTAAATAATCATGTATGTTAGAAGTACAAAGTACTGTAGGCTGTAGGTAAAGGTAAAAGAGCACAAAAATATCAAAGGAAAAGATGTTTACTACTGTTTTGTAGTTCGAATTTGAAAGATTTTTTTTCCGAAGTCTCTATTGTGGGGGCGCCCCGTTTGTGGAGGCCTCGGGGCTTTCGCCCCGGTTGCCCTCCCCTAAATCCGGCAGTGTTCGTCTCCATTCCTGTTTTCTACAACATGAAATTGGAGACAATCGCGCAACCTTAAAAAAATGCTACTTAGTGAGAGTAGAAAATATAGAATTTCGATTGTGTCAGGTCGAGGCATGAACCTGGGGGCGTCTCCTACTGGTGCGTGCGGCGGCGCGCGACTGTGTCGCTCGCGGTACAACACCACAGCGCCCATGTACGGCGTGTCCCTCACTTCAGGGCAGCCAGTCACCATCGTGCAGAAGTTTCCTGATCTACTGCAGCAGGTCGTCTTCGAAGTGTGCGAGTGAGTTCAGACCCCGACAAATATCTTGACAATAAACTAAACACAACGAAGCTTGCGTAGTATATACAGGATGGTCCAATTAGTGACTTCAACAAATATTTTTTTGATTCCTCGCACCTGGGAGTATCCGAAAATACCCCATGTATGTTCCGCAAATGAATTTTTAAAACCTCGCTGGCAGAAATCATTAAAAATACACAAAAAAAATATAACTCAAAAACTTAGAAAAATCGCGGAACAAACATGGGGTATTTTCGGTTACCCCAGGTACGAGGAATCTAAAAAAGATGTTAACATCACTAATTGGACCATCCTGTATAGTGAGACTCAAAATTAATGGCGGCTGTGAAGTTAGCGCAAGTCGCGACGCAGTAAGCGAAATGTAAGGTGAAATGACATAGACGGCGCCAACACTGAACTGAACCTGCGTATAGATGCGTTCGTTGCTAACTTCTCAATCGCCATTAAGTTTAATCGTACTATGGTAATTTTTATTTTTTGTAGGTACAAAATCTTGATCTTTCTACGCAAGTTTGTTTGCCTATGGTTTTACACAAGATGTTTGCCGCTGCCTATATACCGTTTAAAATAATTTAAGGGATAGGAAAGAGTTGGGTAAAATCAACCGATTTAATTCGTATCAGCGATGTAGCAAGTTTTTAATCAGGGTAAACTAATGGTAAGCTATGTACTTAATCAATGAACAAGACTTTTACAGCATTATTACAAAACGTAGATCAAAGTTGAACCTGGTTTAAAACTGATGCTGTCACTTTTGTTTTCTAAAAAGAAGACCGGACTATAGTTAGTCTTTGTTTAAACCTAATATTGTCCCCAGCCCCCGGGGACGTATGGAATAGCGTCACCCCGGGACTGGGACTGACAAATAAATACAAAACACAAAGAAGACATAAAAAAAATATGTCTGACCATTGTAATAAAGAGAACAAACGAATATATAATAAAAAAAAAACCTAATGTTGTCTTTATTAATCCGTGTTTTGAAATAAGGCATTTAAAGTTGAATCGACTTAACCTGACTCGGAATCAGTTCTTAAATGTTTGAGCCTAGCAGTTACGTCAAAACAATATTTGATTAATTCAATTCGGCTTTTATTTAAATTCTTTACCAGAGTTCTTAATGAAACTTTTATCTTAAAATAAAAGGGATTATGCTTGATTAGTTTAGTGTTTAAAATAATCAACATATTAGCGTCAGCTCTAGTTTCCTCAGCAGCTATTCGGGACCCGAATTATTTCTGGTCTTGATAATGATCTCTTGCTTTTGCTGACGATACCAACATAATTTTTGCATTTTAAAGTTAGTTTTTTATTCATATATGTATATTATAATTAGAGATCCGATCATCGGATGCATATTTACTTCAAGTTATTTTTTGGCTATCAAAGTATGGAAACAGCTTCTTTGGATTTTTTTTAAATCACGGGATTCCGGGATCGAATAACTAATCGGCTGTATATTTACTTATAATTTTAATTTCCATTCCATTTAAAAATTAACAGCTTATACTAACAATATAATGGTGTCGATTCTGACATGATTCTCTAAACCTAAATAAATTTGACAAGTGTCTAATTGTCATTCTCTACACAGAATAAAAAAGAAAATGATGTTAAATTTAGTTTTAAGATTAGAGAATGACGCCAGAATCGACACCTATAGCTTCCCAATGACAAATTGAGAAATGGTGCGATATTATTTAAATTTAGATTAAGCAATTACCTGTTTCGGTTTACGCCATGAAAAATTTAATCGATATTCTTTTATTTCAGGTCCAGTGAATGTTCACTCGTTCGAGGATCTTGCACACAGACGTACATACCCTACTTATTCCTGGTTCTCCCTCTAGGACCAGTCACCCTTACAGGTCAAGACTATGTTCTGGTGGAATCAGGCTGCGTCTGCCGACCTGACCCTTTGTCATAGAGAATAAATATCACTTTAGGCAAAATTGATTATTACTTATTAAAGAATGGATCTTGATTGATATTAATTCATTCACAAATTGTTGCATTTAAAGATTTTTAAGAAACTCTTCGAATTTTCTACGCTAGTTCAATAATGTCATTCCGTTGTCGAATAGCTACAAGATGTTGCCTGACTCAATTTTTTTTCAAATATAGAGTCTGTGATTTTGGGCAAAAGCTGGTGAAAGGTATTTTTATGTGCGTGTGTAAAAATTAAGGGAAAAATTCGTTTAACGGTAAAATCGCCGATAAATCATGTTAGTAAATAAACAATTGGTATAAAATAAAATTTTGATTTGTCGGCCATTTTGCGGTGCGTTTCTTTATAGACTGATTGAATTTATTATTGTTAATTTATTACAAATTATATTTATTTCAATACTTATATTTTTATAAGTATTCTACTGTTACTGTGAAGAATGTATTGTGAATTTATTTATCTGAATAGAAATATTATTATTCTTTCATGAGTGAACGTTTTAAAGTTTAAACTATAACTTAATTTATTCTATTAGTTTTGTTAATTTAATAAAATTAAGATGCATTTGTGAGAGTAACATTTTACTACTTATTTATTAACGAACAACGAATGTTAGTATGACGATGTTAAATAGAGGTAATAACTAAAATAAACGTGTAGTCTTTTTATTTTTTCCTTTATAAGTTAGGTAATAGTGTTGTGTTGTTTGTTGTTCATCTGTGTGGATAATTTGTTTTCCTACGGAAACCTCCATCCCCCTTTTCACCCCTTAGATTAAAACAAAAAGGGTAGATACGGTACGCTCATACTTGCATCAAACAAAAACTGATCCCACGGCAGCGCAACGGGACGGCGAGATCCGCGTCACTGCATTACCGACCCGAACGAAACAGCACGTTAAGTTTTAACGGCAGCGCGAACGAGACCCGCGTCACTGCACTACCGACCAATCACGCGACCAGTACTCGACGTCACTACCGAATAAGATTCAAAACAAACAGCATTTTTTATGAAAAAATATATTTTATAGTACTTCCGAATGAAAAGTGATTTTATTTTTAGTTCTTGAGCAATTTGAGCACTTTTTAAAAACACACTTAGGCATTGTTTTATTATATAAACACAAACTATTAGCAATTTTTCTTTTTGGCGTTCACATGTACGTCGTTTGCATGTCAAGTTGTGACTAAAGCGATTAGGGTCGTGGACCACAATTCATGCCGATCACTTTTGTGAGGCTAGTGCCGTATCTACTCTTTTTGTTTTAATCTAAGTTTCACCCCCTAAGTTTGATATCAGGGATAGAACTATCCTATATCCTTCCCCGGGACTCAAACTGTCTACGCATCAAATTTCGTTTAAATCTGTTTAAGCGTGAAGAGGTTATAGACAGGCAGACACTCATTTGGTATCTCTTATCTATTAGACAAGTCCGTCCGTCCGTCCGTCCGTCCGTGGTGCTGTTTCAGCGGCCAAACCGTAAGAGATAGATATAGAGAATGTTTAAGTTATAAGTTAAGAATAGTCTGATAAAACTACAAACCGGATGTGAGTAACGTAGCACTTCCGGTTTTCGAGAAATCACGTGATTTCTATTTCAAACGAAACCACACAAAATCTCCGAAGTTCTCAATTAATTAAATACTTTTTTTTTTTTTGGTGGACATTTGGTTCATAGGTTTGCTAGTTTATAATATTCGTATGGATTTAGATTAGCGCCCATTCAATTTTAGTCGGTTGGAATGGAAGAAACAGTAGAGAACATGGCTTCACGGAAAGCTAAAGCCCAAGGAGCATTTGCTCAACTGCAACCCGTGTGGTAATCACGAAAACTGACTCAGTCGACGAAATGAAAAAGAAGAGTCAGTGTGTCAACACCAATTTGGTGACACATTTCTTTGTCGTATTACATGTAAATGGAATGCTCTGCCTGCTCACGTGTTCCCTCCTTCTTACAACCTGGAATCCTTTAAAGATGCGCGAAGAAGCAACATGCAGGCCGGCAAGGTGAGGATGGCTGGTGTGGCAGGTAGAACTGTTGTACCAGTTATCTTCACATCTGGACTTCACCATCACTTAACATCAGGTGGGGTGGAGTCATTTGTCGGTCATATAAAAAAATTACTGCGAACACGAATCTTCTGAAAATCTTTGCCCATTGACAAATGTTTTTCTAAAAAAATTGTATACGCTTTGTGGTAGTCTTATTAAGGTGTTTCATCAAATAATAATCTTCCAGAAGATATTGTAGAAATTTTCATTTTATTTACAAAACACTTAAACTTAACTTTACTACCTATCTAAAACAAGACTCCGTCTCCCAAACAATATCACACTCTGTCGCTTGAACAAAATCACCTCACCTAACTTTAAAACACTTTAAAACGATTACGTACTGAAGCATCGTAATTATTTCTTCAACCATAACAAAGGTAACAGAAGATTCATATTGAACATAAATTGCAGTTAATTTATATAAAACTGAGAAACAACATAGAAATAAATAGGTTAAATTTGTAAACTTCCACGGAAATATTCGAAGACGTTATTTTTTTCTATCTTGATGATTGCTATGATTTCTAGACAATATTGAAATTGGATGTGTCGTGAAGAAATAGTTTTATAAGTCTTGCGATTAAATAGCTAAAGGAACGCTTGGTTTTATTGAATATTTTTCTGAATCTCATTTGATGATATGATTCAAGACGTTATAGAAATGGTGGGTAGTAGTGAATTTACTGTTCGTAACGGTAATACTGAGGCGGGGCTTGCTGTAACTGTTGTTGCTGAGGTCTTTGCTGCGCATGGGCGACAGGTGCAGGTTGCTGCTGCAACAGCTGCGGCTTAGGAGTAGGGATCTTCACCACGATGTCTGTGGGTTGACGGGAAACCTGCAGACGTAGAATTGGGTTAAACAGAGCTAAATTGGTGTCAGACGTGAAATTAGTAAAAATTCAGATCAGACTCTGGTATATGATTGTTGACGAATTAGAAATAAAAAAAATATTTCCAACACTCACACCAATTAGACTAGCCCTAGGTGTTATGGGATACTAGGGTAACGGATAGAATACATTCACTGTACATAAATAAGTATATTTATATTGAAATGCATATTAAACATCCATGACTGGAGTACAAATGCTCGTATTCATCACACAAACATCTGTCCCCATCAGGATTCGAAATCGGGACCCCTCGAGTCGGCGACACCATACAATCTAGCGTACAAACCACTCGTCTACGGAGGATGAATAATTGCCGTTCTGAGGCCCAAGTACGAATGTCGACAGTTCCGCGTAATCGTATCGTCAACGTCAAATTTGTATGGAAGGAGCCAGTTTGTTCTTACGTCCGGTAGAGGTGCTGCGTATTTTTCAAAGAAACTTTGTTGATGCGATACGATCACTTAGCTGCCGAAATTCGTGCTTGTGCCTCAGAATGGTATATACTAGATATTTTATGAAATTAACTCTAGTTCTATATCATAATTAGAGGAAAACTAGCAGACCCAGCGAACTTCGTATCGCCATAAAAATGTGGGAGGTAGAAGGATGAAAATTTAGGGTTGTATGTATTTTCTAATGTGGCATTAGAAAATACATATAGAAAAATTACAAATGAAAATTTTGTCCAAAAAATTAAAAAAAAAAATTAGGGTGGACAACCCTTATCACTTAGAGGTATGAAAAATAAATAGTAGCCGATTCTCAGATCTACTGAATATGCATATAAAATTTCATTAAAATCGGTAAAGCCGTTTCGGAGAAGTATGGTAACTGACATTGTGACAGGAGAATTATATATATAAGAAAAAGATAATGAAGAAAACAAATTCAAAAAAACAAACCTGTTAATAATAAAGTAGTTGGTTACTTTCTGGTTTATCACTAGGATTTTGCTCTAGGCAAGTATGCTTAAGGTATGCCTGATGTTGAACGGCTCCTATAGCCTGTCAGACAATTGTTATTCCGTACAGTAATAGATATATCCAATTAGCTAATATTTTTAGCAAAAAAAAATTTATTTAGGATTTTCTGGATATACAATGCGATTCAAATAAGAATAGGAAAGTCAATGACCTCTATATGTCAAATGTCGCTTGAAAAGTACGGTTTGCAAAAAAAATCTTGGAAATCTTTGTTAGCACTCTGCTAATTCAAGAATAAAAACCAAACATTTGTAAACAAACAATAACAAACATTGATAATTAATATCGGTTGATATTTTTTTTCACTTATTGAGCTTTTGCCATGAATGGTTGATAACCTAAATCGTCAACCAAATGTGACTTTAAGTTGCGTTCAGAAACTTGATTTCAAACTTTCGTTTACATGTTCATATGTGATCTAGTAATAGTGCATGATTATTCATAACTACTCCGGCGGTAATGCAGAGATGAGCGGAATAGAAGAGCTAGATTCTTATTAATGTTTTTTCTCACAGTCTAAATAAATAAATATTATTAAAATTGGTGGCTTTTTTTCTCAATCTTAGTAAATAACTCTTATTAAAAAAAACTGATGATTTTTCTCACTTAATCTTAGTTAATAAGTTTTATTAAATAAAAACTTTTTTTGCTTACTCTACCTATTTGGTTTGAATTGACATCTATGACATCACAATATGGCGCCCAGTCGGTCCTATTGTTAGTTGAATCGCATTATACAATTCCTATGAAACAGTATAGACTTTAACCAATCTAGTCCCTGAACCCCTCCTTAGGGACAGCAGTAAAAGGGGCAGTCCTGATGAAGCCGTCGCTGTCCACGAACGGGTACCAGCCGTGATGACGTCACCATCGCACCGCTGCTTGCGGTTCTAGTAGTCGATATTTTGGTCGTAGTCGAATCAGTCTAGGCTCTACAATTATAAATTGTAGCTATAGTAAACCCACTGACCTCTGCTTTAAAACTCTCCAAGTCAGCGGTATACGTGACAGTTGTGACAAAGCCATCGCTTGATGACGGAGTGCGAGCCCTTGATGACGTCACAGCCACCCTGCTCCTTGCGGTTGTGGTTTAATTATAAATTGTATCTTTACTTAATCAAATACTGACCTCAGCTTTAAAACCCTCCTTAGGGTCGGCGGTATACGTGACAGTTCTGATGAAGCCGTCGCTGTCAACGACGGAATACGAGCCCTTGATGACGTCACCATCGCGCTGCTCCTTGCGGTTCTGGTAGTTGGTGTACTGGTCATCGTTCACGTCGAAACCAAACTGGTAGGATGGATTGGGCTGAAATTAATTGAATATCAAATTATTTATTCAGTCATTATCAGCATTATGGTCAGCAGCCTATTAATGTCCCCAGTGCCAAGGTGTTCTTTATAAATGGAATCGGAACAGGGCCAGAAAAGGCCACTGGTCCCATCTCCCTCCCTGTGAAGTCTTGGAATTTACTCCCCCACAGAAAGTCAACACCACCAAAAGCTAGTATTATTTCACAATGTCTTCAGTAAGATGGAGCTCAATTTGAGCGAGGAATCCGATATGCCCTAGTCTTTTACCTAAATCAAATGCTCAATGCATTTACATAGCTTTTGAAATATAAACTATCTTCTTGTCATCCTATGCTATCTGCTGTACATCACTTTTTTTAACGAGTACCAATAAAATGTAGGTAACGAAAAAGAAGATTACTAAACTATGAGATATATTAAATGCGTAAAAACAGTTTCAGTTATAAAAGTAAGTAAAAAAACTGTCAATTCCTCCATTTCATCGTGCGCCGTTTTTTATTGTTAATTTTCGGCTCCATTTACTTTCAGAGTGCACTGGCTGGATACCACGTAATTCCGTCGGACGTTGTAGTTTAGAATGGCACCGTGTTTAAGCACTTACTAGAGTGAAAGTTGTGTTGTTGATACCGGCAGGCGACGAGCGTACAAACCACGGGTTAGTTTAATCTGATCCATCCGCAATACTCTCTGTTCCGTGTTACTGGCCGGTTGTAATTATTACTATGTTTGCTGCCGACGACGTTTATTTTATGCTATCGAACCAGGTTAACGTTTGGGAGATCGTTTGGAAAACGCACCAACGGGTTCAACGGTTAAAATAAGTCAGAAAATTACATGAATAACGCACAAACTTTCTAATTTTTGTATGAGATCACGGCTAGATCTTAGAGCAGCTATTCAATCCAATGGGATTAGGAGCCATATCGTGTACAATTTTTACTTTCATTGATTCTTCCGTTTCTTAAATGGGGAAAGGTTATGTCAATACCTTCACTTTTTATTTGGATTTAAGGGAGAAAGCGAAAGAAATAAAATAGGTACCTAGGTAAGACAATTTATCTGCTGCTTTCCTAAGTCACTGCTGGCTACAAGATATCTAAATCTATCAGTAAAGTTGAAAATGAAAGGAAGTAACACATTACTTTATTAAAATGGTAGCGGACGATATCCTGTTCCGTGAATAATTAATCGATAAATTAATTTGGATTGGTAGCATTTAATTGGTTTACTTGTCATCGTCACTCGCGTGCTGTAAACAATGTTGGACATTTTCTTTTCAAACAGTAAAAGTAAGAAATGGAAGTGGTTGTAATTGTATTCGGTAATTATTGTATCAAGTGCTGGCAGAACTTTTGATACGTTGACGTCGAATTTATGCTGGACAGCTACACATGAAAAATAATGTTATGAAATTTGAAGTTGATGCAAGCTTTGCTTCTATTCTAAATCATATCTGTACCTAGCTACTTAAAATATTAGAGTCTGTTAAAAAACAGATTGCTCATCTAGATCGAACCCTATAAAGAGTGTCAAACGTGAAAAAGGGGCCATGAAAATAATGATACCAACTCTCCTCTATTAACTATACTGCTGAGCTGTATCCAGAAACATCGAATTAATTTCATGTTTTCATTCTTCTGGTCTCACAAAGAAAATGACAGAATCTATTTTAAAAGTAATGAAGACAAGTTGAATCTTTTGAAGCATGGATTTTGTTAAAAGTATAATTGCTCGTTTATAGAAATAACCTGCACTTTATAGAAGACTTTAATTAAATATAACTATTTGGTGAATTTTGGTAATATTCCAGGACTTCATGAGATTATGTATTGGGTTCAGGCCGAGAAAGTGAGGATGGCTGGAGCGGTAAACTTTTTTGCCGCATCAGCTGTCTTAATTTTTACTAGAACTCCAATTACTTAAACATCAGGTAGACTGGGCTGATTTGCAGTGAATTGTATAAAAAAAATAGTGGAGAAATCTACATAGTCGTGATAGTAGATTCCTAAGAAACTCACGTCGTCGATACTGGCATATAGCCGACACGTTCCAGAGTTGTAAATGGGTAAGGCCCCCCCTAATGAGCAGCCATTGAACCAGCCTTATGGGTAGACGGGAGGAGAGGAGAGGAGGAGTTCCACATAAATACGTCGCCTTACCCAGTAGCGGGTAATGGGCGACGTATTTATCCGTTAAAAAAAAGTACTCACATCGTAATCTTCCTGAGGTTCACGTACTTGCTGCTGCTGTGGTTGTTGCTGGTACTGGGGCCTGTACTGGGGCTGGGGCTGCTGCTGCGGCTGCGGCTGGTACTGAGGCTGCTGGTACTGTTGCTCCTGCTGATATTGCCCTTGGCTCTGTACTGAGTAAGGCTGCAGAATAAAGATGGCACATTAGTTTGCATGCCATTATGTAGTTATGATTATTAGGAGATTGTGATGACAGTAGACACGCCGTTTCAGCGAGATGAGATCGAATATAATTAAATAAATTTAAAAAAATGGTGCAAAATCGACTGAATAAAGAAGGTAAATCTAAAACAGTCATCTTGACCAGAACATTTAAGGTAATGTCATACAAATATACAATGGAACTAATTTCATGAATCTAAACAATGTTCTATGACATTATCATTTGAAAGAAAACAAAAGCCCATCTGGAAAACTGGATTGCCTAAATTTGTTATTTTCAAAAAAGTTTTTATTTCTTCTCACACTTTTTATGAGTATAATGATCGTACCATTAAAATTATGAACATAGTGTTTACTTACAAGTCTGGCAGGAGCCGCGGGGATTGGTCGAGCTACGACCTGTGTCTGTTGTGGCTGGGCTTGCTGTTGGCCGATATACTGTCTGAGGAGATGTGGGGGAATACCTTCTACTGCCTGTAACAAAATATACCTAGTTATGAACCCTCATGGTCTTGAGACAAAGGCTGCAAGAAAAGTTGCCAGATCTCAATATGATAACAGAACGGGATTTGATTGACAGATTTCAACTCTTTCTGCGATCGCTTTCAAAGTTTAAGCAAGTGTTAATGTGTCAAAAGCATAATCTCTTCAATGTGTAAGAAACAAAAAGGATAGCGGAACGAGCAAAGCCGAAAAAAAGCTATATGTTTATTTATTTTTCGTCATAAGCCTGTGATGTGTTGAGTATTTAGAAATTGAAAAGTCTTCAGTAAGCAACTATAATCATTAGCATTTTACTGACACATAATCACAAACAATTTTTTATTAATATAGTAGTTATTTACCAATCACGAAAATGAAACAACTTATTCAAAAGATCTGTGTTTTGTATAAGTTTGTTAATATAAACAATGTTGACATTCTCTCATAATAAACGTAGACAAAGGAAACAATAGCATTAAATCTACAAACGTACAAAATGTTTACACAATATTGACTTAACTTTCAGTTTTCAGCTTAGCGTTCTTACAACGCTTTAAAAAGTGTATTAAGGCCGCATAATTTGCTCCAGTAACAAGCGTAGTGTTGTTACGTAACAAAACCTGGTCTACATCTCAATCAGGCTTCACGAATGCTCTCTTATACCTAGTGAGTATTTGAAAAACTGTGCCGGGTCACTCGATACCAGTAATCCGTTTAATGGAACCACCAGCGATTATTTCGTGACGTAACGTGATATAACTTGATATTTTAACTTGACAACCGGAGCGTGCATTAAGTAGTTCTAGTTAAGGTTCGAACCGACCACTCAGCGGGGTCCCTACAGCACATTTAAACTCAATTAAATCATACGTAACTCCACGTAATTCTATGAGATTATTTATAACATAAAGACGTAATAAACATTCGGTATTGATTTGTTTAAACATGATGTTTAGAATCAGTAGTGATAGATTTATGTAACTGAATTCTTGGTAAATAAGCTCTTACAATACAATACAATACAATACAATACAAAACACTTTATTGTACACCACAGATAACATAACATTTAGTACATAACCATTTAAAACTAGTGTAACAATGGGCGGCCTTAACGCTGAGAGCGATCTCTTCCTCTTATTGTATGTGTGGAAAAGTTAGCACTTCGAGCATTCGATGTTTTTCTTCACTCCCAGTCTAACTATTAGAAGCTTTGTCTACTTTGTACTAAACATTGGTGTTTAAATCGTCCATAGATCCAGTAACTACTTGAATCATTCAACTAAGAACATATGTAAGAGTATTTTGAGAAGTTGAACTCTAGTAGTTATATCGTTAAGCTCTCATTAGTTTTAACCGCTGCTTATTACTCACTTGTAATGTAATTGATAAAGTAAGTATATTGGTTAAGTGCTATTTAAGTTCGCACACGATCAGGGCGATTGTGTAAAATCTGATTTCAGTATCTGCCATTGTAGACATTAGTTTGATATGCATTACGCTATTACTCGGCAAAATGTCACTATATCTGTAGGAGCATCTGTAGGAGCAGTATTAGATATTTGACATTTGTCAGAAATCCAAATAGACGAGATCGTAAATGAGATCGCATCTAACAGAATACTTATGCTGTTCCGTACCATTTGTATATACGAGATATAACACTAGGACGAGCATATATGAGATCAATAATATAATCAACAACAATAGAATATGGATTTTCATATTCTGTTAAAATTTCAGCTGTCTACTACCTTTTACAGTATATCGGAAGACGTATCTAATAAATAAAAATAAATATTTCCAACACTCACACCAATTAGCCTAGGCCCAAAGTAAGCACTGTAAGGCTTGTGTTATGGGATACTAGGATAACGGATAGAATAGATATACTGTACATATATAAGTATATTTATATAGAAATACATATTAAACATCCATGACTGGAGTACAAATGTTCGTATTCATCACACAAACATCTGCCCCCACCGGGATTCTAACACGAGACCTCTCGAGTAGGTGACACCATGAAACCTGGTGTACAAACCACTCAGCCACGGAGCTTGTCGAACGAATGGACGTAGGCAGTGGGTTCCATTCTCACCTTTTGGATAAAGATCTTTAATAATATACAATGTTACTTAAGAAGATTACTTTTCTATATATGTATGTATGTATTACTTAGCTAATCGACTAGACAAGTGTGGGTCGATATTTCGAAACTCATCGTTACAATGGTTGGTCGCGACTCGCCTGATTTAGTATAGATTTTGAAAAGTCAAGTCTTGCATGTAACATGTTCTGTACTATACCTACATAGTAACACAGGCGAGTATTGTGCAAATGTGGCCTACTTATCGGCGACTATTGTTGGTATTTGGTCCTTATATGGCAGCGTTTCTGGTCAGGGGAAGTTAAGAGATTTTTCTATTACACCATTCGTACTATTAAGAAATTGCCCCGAGTATTAACGAGTTAATCTTAACTCTAACCATTTGAGTTTTTTTTAATTAAGTACGCTAAAAAATCTACCCCATCTTAAAAAGTTATCAAACACATACACATTCATAAAACTCGGCCTCTGAGGTTTTCAGAACTTTAATGATAGACAGAAAAGCACTTTGGTTTAAAAGCTTTTTCTTGATTTAGAAAATAAGTTTTTTTAATATGTTTTACGGCTCTGGATTCTAGTCCTTTTTAAGCCAAACGTTGAACATGACAAAAACAAAGTAAAGAACACTATGGCAAATATGAGGGCTAAAGTGATACCTTCAAATCATATTTATTTTTTAAAAAATACAAGACTGTTACTACCACTAGTGGGATTAGACCACAATCACAATAAAAAGTATTTCACTTAAGCCTGTGTAATGTTTACTTTTATATAAAATGACATCGAATAAAAACATACATGAAATTGTTATTTTCTCGTGCGTTTTATGGAGCTGGCATTGTCACTATTTGAATAAATAAAAATAAAACTAGTCACTTATACAACACTACGTTTAACCCTGGGATAGATTGTTGCAGTAGGGATTTTGTATCCGCTCATTAGGTACGTAATACCCTACTAAGCTCATAATTAAAATATCGATAATTTAATTAGTAAATGTTTTTTTAAGAAAAATGCAACATGAACCTTCTTGTATTAGGTTTCACACTAAAGTGCTGACTTCAAAGGAAGTGCGGCGTTTAGAGTGCAGACTCTCTCACTATTTGAATAAATAAAAATAAAACTAGTCACTTATACAACACTACGTTTAACCCTGGGATAGATTGTTGCAGTAGAGATTTTGTATCCGCTCATTAGGTACGTAATACCCTACTAAGCTCATAATTAAAATATCGATAATTTAATTAGTAAATGATTTTTTAAGAAAAATGCAACATGAACCTTCTTGTATTAGGTTTCACACTAAAGTGCTGACTTCAAAGGAAGTGCGGCGTTTAGAGTGCAGACTCTCTCGCAACATCTTCATCAGTCAATAAATCTGATAAATTTACTGATGAAGTTAATGCAATACTGAACCTAGAAAGAAGTACCTACTATTCAATATTTTTATACTCATCTGTCAACGATAATCCGCATTAACAAAATTTCGGTAATTTGTAGTCTCTACATTTCTTGAGACAAACGACCTAATGTTAAAATGGTTTGTTTTCGTTAAATTTAATGTATAGTTTTGTTTTTTTTGGGTTGTAATAATGATTTTATTAGCTAAATGATCATTATATTATATTTTGTTTAGTTTAAATTTGAAAATTTGGATTTTGTAATAGTTAAGTATTTATTATTTTACTATCATACATAAAAAGTATTAAATATTAGTTAGAATTATAATCCCATATATCATTCCCGTTTTAATTTTAATAGTAAGTAAAAAGTTAAATCATTAAAATATTAAACATTACTAAAACAGTCTGTGTAATACTTTTAATTAAAAAAACCAAAAACAAAAGAAATCGTTGTATTAAACTCGTATTTATTCTTTTTAATTTCTTTATACTTTAAATTAACTAAAACAAAAGTAACTTACTGGTTGTTGATATTGATGCTGTGCTCTTCCATACACACACCCCAGAACAGCCAACGACACACAAAACCGCAACATCGCACCACACTTGGTATTAAAAAAATAAGTTTAAAAAAAAGCTTGGATCACACTCGCGTGGTATATTACGTATGCCGTGCGTGTACCTTACTCTCACTATATATAGTGGCACCCCTTCTAGTGTAGGTGGTTGGGAGAGAGTGGGAACTGTGCGAGGCTCCTAGGAACGCACACGTGTGAGGGCCTAATTCGAAATTTGAATTATATTTCTCAAAGGATGTAGAGAGTTCGAATCCTTTTCGAGTTTCGAAGTCGAAGTCATAATTAATTACAAAAGCGTTTCCTGACGTGTGAGGGCCTAATTCGAAATTTGAATTATATTTCTCAAAGGATGTAAAGAGTTCGAATCCTTTTCAAGTTTCGAAGTCGAAGTCATAATTACTAAAGCGTTTCCTGACGTGTGAGGGCCTAATTCGAAATTTGAATTATATTTCTCAAAGGATGTAAAGAGTTCGAATCCTTTTCAAGTTTCGAAGTCGAAGTCATAGATACAAATATAAAAAGTAATCTGATATTCCAGGAAAGGCTCCTGGAATATCAGATTTATTGGCTCGAATTTAAACGTGAGCCTGCCCCCCTAACATGAGCACCGCGATATGATATATATCGCGATTTTATCACGCTTAATTATGAAATTACTATGGAGTTTGGCAGTAAGATGCGATAAAAACGTAATATAATGTAAATTATGGTGCTCGTGCTACAGGGACTGGGGAAGGAACCCCCACTTTATTGAAGACCACAGTGAAATCACTCGACTCTTAGGTGGTATAGTGTTTTGCCCTCGAGTAAGGTTATCAGTACCCCTAGCACGAACCATTATCGAATTCGAATAGATTGCAAACCGAAATGTCAATGTCAATGGCTTTTATGATATGTCATAAAAGCATCGCAACTTAATTACTTTAGCTTCAGATTAATTTTCTGTAATCTATGTATTTAGATTAGGATTCAAGACGTGTCTTTTTTGGACAATAGTTCATATATGTCATAAATAAATTTAAAAAAACCTAGTTGTGGATTCTGGGTTGAGTATAAAGTTTTTTACTACTTTTACCCTTTTAAGAACTTTACTGAACTTCTTATTTACTGAAATAAGTAAAAAGGCAGTGAAGTTTCAAAAACATTAAAAGCTGCCTAAGAGCTTTACGACAGTGTGAGCTCAGGTTGTCTTCTTCAAAAAGCGTCCCGTAAAGCTCCAGGATTGGAGTTTAGTAATTTGATACCGATTTGATACACATTAACACACTAATATTTTAAAGGCGAAAGTTTGTGAGTGTGTGTGTATGTTTGTTACTTCTTCACATCTAAACGGCTGGAGCGATTTTAATAAAATTTGGTATGGAGTTAGCTGACATCCTGGATTGATACATAGGCTACGTTTTACCGCGAGAAAATATCCCTAATAAACCGCGGGTTACATCGCAGGGTACAGCTAGAGAAAAAGCGTAAGTCCTGTATTAAGTTAATAGCTTATAATTTATACCTACTTACATATTAATGTATTTAAAAAGCCGTTGGCTTAAGCAATGATAAAAAAAGAAGTCTTTGAAAGTGCCAGTGCAGAATGCCAATGAGCAATATATTGTCCAATTGTATGCTCACTCGGTTTGATCTTAAATCTTATATGATATGAATATATCTCTATAGATCATCAAATTCGTGACTGTCGTACGGTTATAGAGAGAAGAATAAAACAATGAAGGTCGAATTAAGAAAGATTCTTAAGCTAATAATTTGATAAAAAAACCTTCTCGACTCGATTAAGTACGCATTGAGAAATATTTCACTGATAACACCTTTGTAGATCGAAATGGATTATTCTGTAATGACGTAATAATAAAAATAATGAACACTTTATTGCTCGCATACCAAAGGACATAGGTACAACTGACACATGTAACAATAAAAATAATAGTATGCCAGCAGAGTCGATAAGAAAAGAAATATTTAAATAATAATGGTGTCGATTCTAGCGTGATTCTCTAAACCTAAACTTAAATTTGACGACAGTGTATATATCCTTGTCTTTCTCTATACAGTATAAAAAGGAGAGACTGATGTTTGATTTAGTTTTAAGTTTAGAGAATCATGCCAGAAGCGACACCAATGTTGTAATAAATATACCTACACATATTAATGAAATATATCATACACAACCTGGATAAAAAGACAGAAATAAACAACGAAACATAACCATAAGCTATTTACCAAATATCAAATTTCTATCTTCAATATTGACGATGTTTCGTTAAAGAAATTCTTCTCCCCTAGTTTTGCCGACCAGAAAATGTATTCCCGAATAAAAGCAATTTGATGCTTGCCATAATCTCAATGAGGATGTGAATTTTGCTTTTTTTGTCGACACAAGTACTAAACAATTTGTTTTACGTAATTTAAGAACTATCCGTGTGCCAAATTTTAGCACCCTTTATTCAATGGTTTGCGCTGTGTTGAGATAAGTCAGTCATTGGTAGTGGATTCGATCCCGGACGATTTTTCTAATCTCGGGATTTCGAGATTATGTACAGTTAATCCCGGGATTGTATTGATAATAGAAAGTGGTAATAAAAATACAATCAAACATATAAAAATCAACTTTTTATTTTAAATCTTTAGTTAACTCTTTAAAAAACTAAACTATATTATACTTTCTTCTGTTAAAATAAACAAACAAGGCACTTCCGTAAATAATTTATGAAATAATAAATAACTGCCTATAATAAAATTTGATATTTTATTTTAAAACAAACTTCAAAAAATCAACTTCTAAGACTACCATAGATATACTTACCATAAAACAACTATACAGGTGGTCCTTCATTATTTTGGCCCGTTGAGGAAGATGTCTTAGCAGAATCTACTTTCACGGAATGTTTTGAAGATAGATGAGTATGTAGGCCTTTGGTCGATCCTCCTAACGTCTTTAAAATAGCTACGCAATTCTGACATTACACTGAGCTAGCCGCTTTATCGACTAAAAAATTTTTTATGCTTGACATCAAACTTTCTTTGAATAATGACATTGTTTACTTTTTAAACCTAAGCAAAAATGAAGAGAACGTTTAAGTCTATGCACAACATAAAAATATCAATACTTACACGACGTGAAGCGGAGATTTTACACACTTTTCACATAATCCGGTACCGGTCGTTAGCAAAAAAAATGAAGTCAGCCGTGTAAACAAGATGGCTATCAAAACGTCAAATGAAAGTAAGCGCGTTTCGTTTCACTCACATTTTTATTGACTTATATAAAAAATATGTCAGTCCCGAAGATCCATTACATTTAATCTCGCAAATTTCGGGATTAAAATATGACCGGGATCGAATCCTCTAGTCATTGGCGAATGCCGTTTATATTAACTTAAGATTATACCTATTTGGTGATTTATAATACTGTAAAAATACTGTTAACAATGCTGTTGCAAGTATTTACAAAATGAAGTAAAGAATCCGTTACCTATTATGTTTTGATAGGCGGTTATCTGGGGTTAGCATCAACATTACAGACGGCTTCTTCATCGTTGCCTCAATTGCAAGACTTCTCACAAAATTGCATGAATGTTGTTTTTTTTTCATACTTAATGATGTGCCATTATCTTATGTTTCTTAACGTTAACAATTTAATAAGTGGCCAGTTGCTTTGTTCATTATATTTATATTCAAAATATGCAGTTTGTTAATTCGACTCTACGGCGCGCTGGTTTCATATGATAGTTACAATTGCTTTTGTTTAAAAAAAAAATATGAGACTTTATTTTTTTTGAATATAATAAGAACACTCATTTGCAGTGTTTGAATTCCAATAGCACATCAATAAATCAAAATATTCTAATCATTATTAGTTATCATCACATATAAGCCAGTATCTAATTCAAAGTAGAAGTAAAGGATTGGATCACGTATTATTATTAGCTTTTACTATATTCATCAGAGGATTACCACTACCTTATGACGGTGTTGTGTTTTTGTCGATGACTAAGGTTCCAGGTCTGCACGGGGGGGTTAGACGCGGAAGAATCCCTAAACGGGGATCCCGCGGTTTTGCACTAAGCAGCTTACAGGGTATTTGCAGGGTTTTTAGCGGATATTATGCCGTAAAGCGCCCGTAAGAGTTACGGGGTCCTCAGTGGGCAGCCACTGTGGGGGCTCGTAAGGTTTGCGGGAGCCAGGTGTGAGGTCCGTTCGTACCTCTTAAAGGCGCCGTCGTCTGTAAGCAAAGTTTTTGCCTGCGTCACAAAAAAAAGGTCTGCACGGGGTAGGAGATTAAGTCAGGGTAGGCAACTGTACGAGTGATGTTTTTGGTATCAGGCTATGGTGGCCGCTTTCCATCAGGCGGGAAATATGCTTGTCTCCAACCCTTTTAACATAAAAAAGATAAATCTAATGATAATAATCCAGATCGTCTGACAGCCTAAGGATTTATGTGTCAATTAGTGAATTGTACGGCAGAAAAGACTACGAAATTAGCATAAGGGGTTTTCCAACTATGGTAAGCGGCACACAAAGCTTTGTGTTGCGATTGTATGTACATATGGCGCAAATATACAATACAATACAATACAAAACACTTTATTGTACACCAGAGATAACATTAAATTTAGTACATAACCAATTAAAACTAGTGTAACAATGGGCGGCCTTATCGCTTAGAGCGATCTCTTCTAGACAACCTTCGGATGGAGAGGACTAGAAGAAAGTGGGAGAGACGGCGGCGTAAATCACTTGAGTGATATAGGTGATAATATATACAATTATAATATACTAGCAAACCAGTGAACCAAATGTTCACCAAAAAAAAAATGTATTTAATTAATTGAGAACTTCGGAGATTTTGTGTGGTTTCGTTTGAAATAGAAATCACGTGATTTCTCGAAAACCGGAAGTGCTACGTTACTCACATCCGGTTTTATTTATTTATTTATTTATTTATTCAGTAACACATGCCGGCTTACAGAAATATCCAAAACGCCGGCAAGTCATACATAAAGACATTAACATACATTCCAATTCAACAAAATTAAGAAAAAAAGAAAAGAAAAACAAAAAACAAAAAA